GATTTTAGGGGCAACCTTATTAACATATGTGTCTTTCCTAATACCCACCAAACCAAATCATTGAAGAACTAAGGCCCCCAAAGAGCTAATAACAATCAAATAACTCAAAATGAACATTCCACTCTGAAAGTTGGACACAAATTCAATTAAATCTACTCCAATGCACCCCACTTTTCAAATGTCATTTGCTAGACCCCCGGTTGGTATGCCAAACAATTTGTGCTTCTGTGACATTTAATATCCCCATATTGCACTAGTTGGATGTGGGAATGTACAGATTGCTTTAATTATAAATAATTGGGTATTTATTGAAAACAAGGATATCAGGCAAACAAATAGCTACTGGATAAGTTAACCCCGCGCCAGAATAAATTATTCAAATGCCTACAAGTCTTTCGGTCGAACAGCAAAGGGAAGTCAACAAAGTTAAAACAGAAGCTTTAAGGATTCTCCATAATTTATTTTCCCTATGCTATCATTTAATAGGACCTCCATAAATTGGCGAACCAACTTTTCTGACATTATACCTTGTTAGCTAGCAATTAGCAAATTAAAATGAAATCAGGCGCAAATTGCACATAAATTATACAATTGCATGTTGTTTCGTATATTTCAGCAATCAGAAGCAGCCACAGAATGCAAATGGAAGGCAATCAGAAAAAGGTTCAACATACATTCTGTATGTTTTCATTTTTTTTCCTGTTTCCTCCCTCATGTAATTGGTAGCCAAAAAGTGTTTTAAATGTTGCATACTAGGTCATACCCAACATTGCTGCAGGCTTAATTTTATGTTTTACTTTTAAAGCCAAAAACAGTTGCAGCTATTCTAAAAAATATGAAGAATATGTCTTGTGGCTCTATTTTTTTAATTAAATAAGTTCTCTAGTGCACTTGTTATTCCTTAGAAATATTTTAAAATTTTTCGCATTTAATATGGCCAAGTGCTTTTGGGTTTCTCTCAAATATTTTCACTTTTGAACCTCGCCCTGGGCCACGAAATATATGAACTTTTTCTAGACTAATTAATTGTTATGTGGATCGTATGAAATTCCTATTTTTTCAATTATTTTACATGCTTCCGGCTATTCTGACTTCTGGGCATTGCGGCATGGCGCAAATCGTTAAAGTGGCAAGACTATAAAATGCCAAAAACCCTTCAGAGAAATGGACTGGCCCAAAAGAGGCAGAGGTGACAGTGGTAGGTGGTGGTGGTCGGTGGCGGTCGGTGGTGGTCGGTAGTGTCATGGCCAAACTGCCTGTCATCCGGCCGCAGTGCATCATTAACAGCCCTGAGCTGGGTAATAACGCCGACAACAGATGTGGCCATAGCTCAGGCGTCCCATCTGAGACCCCAAGTACTCAGTACCAGCAATCAAATTTGGCAAAACTAACGAACTGGAAATTCACTTCACAAAAATTGAGTCCCAGTCAGTGGAAGTTTTTTCTCTGAATATTTAGAAGTTTTATTTTTTCAGAAGGTATTCTGCCGAAGAGAATCTATTTTATCAATTTCAGTAAAACTTTTTTTAATTTAATTTAAATAAATTGGGTAAGAGATGTGAGAAATAGAGTGAGCTTTATGAAAAGCGATGTATACTTCAAACTATTACAAAATAATATTCTCATCCTTAAAAGGGTATTAAAAAGCCATATTTTGGAAACACTTTGAAGCTTGGGTATTAGTTTGCAATGCTGATATGCGGTTGGCATACATACTGGTAACCAGTCAGTTATCCATACCGAAAAGCTGACAAAACTGACAGTCACACCAACTCACACACGACTAAGCAGGGGTACAGTCACGCCCGGGATTGTAAGGCTGCAAGGCGATTGAGGCCGGATGTGGGAGTACAAAACTGATTCACTTTGTGTGGACTTTGCCGCATGATTGCGCCTAAGGATGCACCACATTTTTTTCATATTACATTTTTGTGACTTTGCCGAAGCAAAAGTTTTGATAAACTGCACTGCACCCCGCGGAGCACTAGTTTAGGTCCTGGAAAAGTTTCCGCAAAGTTTTCATAAAGGACCATGCAACCTTTAGATTAAAATCTGCAAAGCGAATTAATTATAAATTTCATTCATTGTTTTGCGTTTTATCCAATATATCTTAGCCTCGTTAGACGGTCCAAGGTTGGCTATAAGTACGCCGTAATTGCGTTGCAAAGTTAACCGGATATTTTGTGTAGTAAGCATACCGTAATAAGACTAATTGAACAAAGGCTTCCACAAGAGCTAAGCTGCTGCAATTGAACCTCCATCTGGATCTGGAGTGGTGCTGAGTCCCAGTTAAAGCTAAACTTAATTGGTGGAACAATTAAATCAGAAAAACACACAACACATCAGCTAGTTGTGGGGTCTGTCGTATGCAGGATTTTCACACACGAGTCCTTTGAGCGGCTAAACAATGCATCCCAACACAAAACAAAGCACCTCCATGTGCTGCGATAAAAATGTGTGTTAGACATTGACTTGTGAACAAGTTATTTGCGAGATTTTTTCATTACATGTTCCCGAAGGGAAAGCATTTTTAGAATTTCTTTGAATGGTTTAATTTCTGACTCAGCTTCATGAAAATTTGCGGGGCTTGTATCCTAATGGAAATATTCTTTAATATTCTAGTCATGGACAGATATTTTTTGTGGACTTCCATTATCGAAGACTAATGTAATATTTAGTTTCATAGCCATTGAAAGAGTATTTCTTCAATCAATAACTCTCCAGTTCGTTATGATAGACATTCAGGAACTGTTTGTTGTTTTCATTTATAGCCGCAGCTCATTGCTGGAAGCTCTCCCCTCCTAGACAAATAAGAATGGCACGCAGCACGCACTTGCACTTCCGGCCGCAGGCATGCCGCATATTGAATGCATCCAATGGGAAATGAAATAAAACAGAGACAGCCTGCGAGAGGAGGAGCATGGGAATATTAAGTGTTTTTTTATTTATTAATTTCGATAAAAATACTACTTAACGAGAGGATTTCATTTCGTTCTGGTCTCTTGACAAACGAAAAGTGCGTAATATGCAATAGTGAACGGCTTTGTCCCTTAAGCCAGTCATTGTGCTTTTTCCGGCCGTGTCCTTGTCCGGAGCAATCAACATTGGCATTCTTCGGCTTGCTCCTTCTCTGTCGGTGGCATTTTGCCTTCTTTGTTGGCTGCAACCATTTCCATTCCGTTCTCCTGGCCGGAAAGAGCCAGGACAACTGTCGGATAAGAGCAGGAGCTGCAGGAGGAGTAGCAACCAGAGATGGAGATGGACAGAAGCATGCTTTACATTTTTACCATGCAACTTCATTTGACTCATTTGCGCTTTATTGACAATTTATAAGGATTGCCGAGCTGCGAATTGGCAGTAAAACCTTAATGTAAACGTCCTCGCTGAATATAAAAATGGCTGACAAAGTGGCTGGCAAAACTGAATAGGAATTTAATTTCAATTTCAAAAGGAAGGATTGAATCGCCCCAGCATCGGTAAGGAAAATCGATACGCGTGCGACAAAGCCGTCTTAAGTCGCCCATTCAGTGCTGGCCTAGCCAGAGTATCAATAACCCGACGCATCTACAATGCCAGTGCCACATCGCCATAGGTCGGGAGTCAAACTAATAGATTTCCTTTTGATTGGCGTGCTTATCTTTTCAACCATCAACTATCAACCATCAGACAGCACACATATATTTGATGGCCTAAACAGGAAATGGGAATTGCGCAGAAATGGCTGCCATTGAATTTGATGCGTGACAGGAAGAATCTAATTTATGGCCCGGTCCGTGTCTGAGTGCCACAATTGGTTATGCATAAAGGGCTCTCAGTATCACTCCATGTCCTTTTTCTCTGTCCCAGTTCCAATGACAAGTCCCAGTTGGTTTAACCCGAAAATTGCTGGCACAACAAACTTGCACTCGGTCGGCAAACAATTATTACAAAAAGCAAACCTTCGCCGGCACACACGCTTGCCCTCGAAACACAAAAGATGAGCCCCCGAGCGTAGACACAGATAAAGTGATGGGCAACAAGTGCATTTCATTCCTTCGTCCTTACTACCAAAAATTCTGTCTCATCCCAGTGATTTATTGGGTTCAAGTCCTAGAAATGGTCTGTGAAAAAAAATGAAGAAAACCCAGAGAAGATAAAAACTGAAATATGAAGGAGGAAAGACTAGGAAATGTTCTGTGTCCCGAACACTTTATGCGTGCCACGCTGCGTATGCGTATTATCTGCCCCCTGTATGCATGGCTATGTAATCTATGCTAAAAACAGGGAGCAGAATACTGAGAGATAGAGGGGGCAAAAGCCGGAGAAAAGGACAGCCGACGAATGTATCTACAGCGTAGTTGAAATTCAAATTGGATTTGCGAATGTAATGGACAACGGGCAACTGTATGCAGTCCGGTGAGAGCTGGCTAAGACCAAGTTGGACCTTTTACGCCAAACACATGCGTATTCCCAAGGCTCGGTCTTCCTTTTGTTGATTATGATTTATTATTCACTTGGAGTTCAAAACTGAAACTTTGAATTGATTTTTGAGGGTATCATAACAACAGCTGTCGAAAAAAATTATGAGGGAACACAAGGGATCAGAAACCACACGGATATGAATTTGCATAAAAATATTAAATATTAAATGCGATCCATTCTTATATTTAGACAAGATTTTTTTGCAAAGAAAATTCATTTCTCTTGGTAATATTTTTATTCTTATTATTAATTAAAAAAAAAATTCTTTAAGTTCTTATATTTTAAAAGCTAAAATATATTAAAATTATAATTTTTTTTAAAAGGACATATTCCTGCATTTTGCTTTGACTTGAATTATTCAAAATATTGCGTATACGCCTAGCGGTACACAGCTGCCGTCGACGCCTTCGCTGCTGCTGCTGCCGTGGGGCTGCTGCTCCACCGCAGTCGCTGCCTCCGTCGCCGCCCACTGCCGGCAGCGCCATCGTCGTCGGACGCTGCCTCCGAGTCGCTCGTTCAGTTCGGTTTTGCGGGTCGAGCGTGTGCGAAGCGCTCAGAAAACTGCGCACGAAACGCATCGAGAATCGGTTGGAATTCAGAGGCCAAAACGCGCGTTTTTCAAATTCGCAGTATTTATGTATTATTTGGAAACGCGACTGCTTTTGGTTTTTTCAAGTGGATATAATTGTTGAAAATCTTGTATGCCCAGCGGTTTGGGCTTATCAATGAGGCAGCTGTAGCAGCCGCTGCCCCCACAAGGCGATAAGATAAAAGCGCATAATTAAAAGTAAATAATAAAGTCACAATTTGATCTTGAGCGGCCGCAATGTGCTGCAACAGAAAGGCAAACTATAAATAACCCGTTGAGAAAAAGTGAAATTGAAAATTGTCGACCAGATGAGTTTTATCTGCCGGCTGGCGACGCCGCCAAATGTGAAATGAAGTGCTTAACCCATGCTCGCAATTAACACTTTTATATCGGTACAATGACACAGAAATATTAATGTTAATCTATTGGCCACAAAAAACCTCTCCAGCTTACCACTATCGATCTGCCTTTTGATTTGTTATTCAAATATTTACGGAATCCGCAATTATTTATTTGTCAATGTCGATTGTTTACAATTTCAGTTTCCTAGGCACACAATATATTTGATTTATGGCACAAGCATGCCAATACTGCACACTTCTGACCAAAAATGGCCCACAGACTATGAATTGATTGCGAAATGAATGTAAAGGGGTTCTAGATAGAAATATTAAGTGGCATTTGTCCTCAAAATATTTAATTTGTCTTTTTCGCAAAATGATACCTTGATATGTTTGTGCTTTGTTCCAAATATTAGCCATCGGAGCAAACAAAATACTTAGAACCAGCAGCCAGTAGCCAGATTCCAGTCTCAGTAGCCAAACTTGTTTTCAGGTGCAAACCAACAACAGAATTGGGTTCAACCTGCATGTTTTATTAGGCTTACGTATATTTTTTCTGGGGTTTCGTTTTTTCGGTTGGTTTAATTGCTTTGCCAGAGATATTTATGGAACGGCCAGTTGGCATAAACGGTTTATTCCATCGCTCCCTCCAATTGTCCCAAAAAAAAAACTAGGCATTACAAAATGTTCTGACAAACGAGTGACATGAAGTGCGAAAATTTATAAAACTATCGATGTGCTGGGGCACTCCCCAGGGCACCCGGCAGTGTTGACAGACGTGTTGAACTTGAAATACCATTCGTAAAGATATTTCACAAAAAAGTATCTTAGAGAGCTTTTAAATACATCACTATAGGCTTTCAAAAATTGGTTTAAAATCCCCCAGAAAAGCGCATCTAAGCTTCGACTATTTTGATAGTTTTGTTTAGATTTTCGTACTTCTCGGGTTCGCGTCCTCCATGGAATATTCAACATTGTTCACATTTTGTTTTCATTTTGCCTGTTTTGTTTTGGTTTTTTTGCCCGTTCAATTCTCGCAGCATAAAGTGTGCAAAGTACAAATAAATGTTCATCGTAAATATTTGTAAAAGTTTTCTTGTAAAAGGGAAACACTCACACCTCCCCAGACCGCACCGAGCTAGTGAATGAAAACAGTGCAATTGAAACGCCCACGGAAAGATCGAACTTAAAACATGTTGGCCCAGTCATTCTACTGCATTCTGTCACCTGTAGCAGGTGCTTGAATCACAACATGCAAATGGCTAATTAAATTGATTGATAAATGCAATAAATAGCGTAATTGATATGAGTTCATTGGAATTAAAAAGTATTTCCCATGCAATTTGTTTACACGACTAATGAGTTATAAGTTTATAGCAAAATGGAGGCATTATTATTAGACTTGCCTTGCCGAATTCCACGGAACACTGGATGTTCATGGCGTTCATTTTTTACTATTGTCTGCGATTACCCAACTTCAAGTATTACGCGTCGTTCAATTGTGTTTTTATTTTCTTAAAGTAAAGCTAAAAATAAACCATACCCTCAGAATATGCAGCTCATATTTCTCTCGGCACAGAAAAAAAAAGGAAAACAAAAATATGCCATGCCAGCACAAATCCAACCAACAAACAAATAATAAAGAGTCCAAAACAATAATATTAGCCAACAAATAAGGAGAGTAGTAATGACCGCAAAGAAGGCTATTAAAGTGGTGATATTAACGACCATATTAATACCCTAATAAGCGTATCAGCAAATTAGTGATAATTAATAAAGCCAATGAATAATTTAAACCAAAAGGCAACTGTGAATAAATGATTTGGCGTTGATCCAATAAACTTTTCATAAACCTCAATCAGAACAAATAATTTAATTGGCCGAATGATAAATTAAGCGACGTTTAACGGTTCCAGCTTGTCAGCCTGGTCAAAATGGAAAGCACATCATTGCCGGTTTATTTGCATAGTTTCAGATTCCGAAAAGTAATTATCCAACATGGCCCAGTCGAGCGGGTGGGAGGAAGGGGCGAAATTCGACCGGGCTATACGCTCTATAAATAGATACCAACAAACCGACAGGTGACGTCGGGCTTAGTGCCCATTTGGCCAGTTGGCCAGTTGACCAGTTAAACAACCTATTAATAAAGCGTGAACTTCATTAGTCAGAGGCGAGAGAAACAAATAAATGAATTAGCATAAGCCGATGAACAGCTGGCTGAATGGATGGATGGATGAATGAATGGACATAGCTCTTTCAGGCCTTATCCGAATGTGCGAATTATAGATTAAAGCCTCATAAATCATTCGGCCCAATCACAGTGGGAGATGGTGGCCTAACGGCATCTCAAGACACCTATAACGATTGAAAGCTACCTGATTGAACGATGAGATCCGGGGCAGGGGTAGGTAGCCGGGGCTCCACCGACGGGGGTCTCCTAATCCACGGCACGTGTAGCCTCTTATGGCTTCAAAATACTCCAATCCAAAGCGTAGAAAATTGAACAGCCACAATATAAATAATAAAAAATTCAAGTAATAAACACAAAAAAGTGCATGAAACAAGCAACAACAACCAAACCCACCAGGGAGAGCTTGGACTGTCTGGCTGCCGTTCAAGCCGCAAATTGACCCATATTTCCCATACAGCAGTATTTTTGGCGTTTGACGAATTGTTTTTTGGCCGTTCAATTAGACAACCTTGGGAATTGAGTTACCCTGCGTCTGCCAGGCATCAATCAAAACTGAAATAACTGAAAGTGTTGGCAACTGTCGGTGTCACAGGAAATAAGTTTGCTGACAAGCTTAAAACCACAAGATTATTTTGGGATACAAAAATATGTATTTAATATATTTTTTATCCCAAAAAATAATCTTGGATCAAAAATATAAAAATTACATATACGAGAACGCCAAAGGGCATCATTACGGGGCTTTAACCATTTTTTTGGACGTGTTTCTTGTTGGCCAAAATCTATTGTGGCAACTTTTTCTTTTCGGCATTGTATTTATTACTATTGTTTGTTTGTCTTTGGTGCTTTTGGCCACATTTAAATGCCCTGGAGGGCTCTTTTTGTGTCTGAAGCTATTTTTAGCTTTAAAAGTTTATCTTCATGGCTTTATTCACATTCGGATGAAGTTTAATGAACGGATAGCTGCGGCCGGTGATGATGATGACCGACGCGGCGGTGAATGGAGAAAAATTGGTCAATAGTTATCTGGCAGAATGTTTGGCAAGACCAGGAACTGTCCCCGATAAAGCGATTGGAAGATTCTGTCGAATCATTCTTCAGGGTACAACAAAGCCATTCTCCACGTTCTTTACTTACTTTCCTAATTGCCGTTAAATTTGCAACGAATTCGAAATCTGGGGGAACCTACATGCTTATAGATTTTGTAATATTCCAGCTGCGGAATCGTTCCAACTAATTTAGTACAAAAGCCCTCCGAATACGTGTCAACCGCAAACAAATTCTACCCAGCACAGGTGAAGGTCAAGAGAATTTTAAATACCGCATTTCGGTTTATTTTTAGCCCTTTTGTTTTTATATGCCTTGTCAGCTTGGAGTGAGTTTAAAAAATTATATTCTGTTTACGACTCTCAATCAATTAATTTTTTTCGCGTTTCGCACACACAAAGTTCAAGCCAGCAAATACAAAAAATAAGATCTCAGGCTGGTTTGTATTATTTGGATTTATTTCATTTTTTAAAAATCCTTTGTTAGTCAATTCTGATTTAGCTTGACTTTCTAGGCCTATTCCTAATTTGCATATGGAAAAGTAAAGTTCAATCAAAGATCTACGGCTAAAAATAGGAGAATTCTTATGTAAAAGAATTGTGAAATTGTGAACAATCTGAAGTCCAACCCAATATAGAAAGTCGGGGATTTACGGTTGAAATTCTAATAATAATATATAATTTATTCAAAGTCCCAAATTTAATGCCTTTGCAATGAGTGGATGCAAAAATTTTGGTTTATAATTAGAGAAATGACTAAATTCAAGTCATTCTAAATGAGTTCAAAATTGTATACGTTTTTTATGGAATTTAATTGCGAGAGTGTCTGGACTACGACTTGTATTTAAAATCCCCTGATCGAAACAGGCACACACAAGTGTTTTTTTCCTTTAAGAATGAACTGCAATGTGGCTTGGCTTGTTCTACACGGGTTGCATTTAAAAATACAAATATTAAATATTATTGTTTTGCATTTTGGGCTTCTCTCTCAATGGCTGGCCATCTGTGCCATCAGACGCATCTTGGAACGCTCCAATAATTCTGTTCTGACAATAAACTGCAAAAGTGTTAATTAAAATTTATTGCGAAAAAGGGTTAAAACATGTCCAGTGCATACGGTAGAGTGAGAACCAGTTTACTAATGAAAAGTCCGAGACGGATAATTAAATTTGAACAATCGACGGTGATTAATAAAAATTGAGACACACAAAACAGTGCAATTAATAAACAAAAAATTCCAATTTGCCTCAGGTCGCCGGGCTGCGTCGCTCGCAAAATGAATTAAAGGAGACGAGCTGTGATAAAATAATAAAACAAAAACAAAGTTAAGATTGTTGAAAAATAATCGTATACATTAAATACTCGTATGTATAATGCGATCAAAATCAGTGACAGAGAGCAACGCTTGACGAACACGAACCGCGTAAACCATCAAACAAATTAACTCCAGGAGCCTCTCCCTCCGAGATGCCCCAGGCTGGCAAATCACTCCGCCCCAGAAAACGAGGACAGTGCCAGCTTCCGAATCTCCTGCCGCGGCTGCTGCTCACCCTGCTGCTCCTGATCCCTAGTCGGGGACTTACGGCGGCGTGGTTCTACGATGCGGAACCCTCGGGGGGCGGAGCTGGCTCTGATGAGCACAGCTTCAAGACGCCGGAGACGAAGAACTCGCACAAATCCCAGACCACTGAGCTGGTGCAGCACTTTCGCACCAACGACGGCCATGGCAACGTGGCCCACAGGCAGCTGGTATTCGTGGCACTCCTGCCGTCCGTGGAATCGGATAACAAGAACGACTGTATAATGCCCAAGGTCCTGCCAGTGCTAGAGCTGGGTATTCGGCACATCCAGAGTCTGGGCTTCGTGGGCGGCACTCACTTCGACATCCAGCTCATATCCCGGGACACCTTCTGCTCGTCCAAGTACGGTCCCATCGGCTTCTTCGAGATCTATACCCAGTGGCCAGAGGTTAACGCCGTCTTCGGCTTGCCCTGCGAGTACGTCCTGGCCCCCATCTCCAGGTACGCCGATGTGTGGCAAGTTCCCGTCCTCACCACCGGTGGCAATGCTAAGGAGTTCAACAAGAAATCGGAAAGCTACTCCACCCTGACGCGACTCAAGGGCGCCCAGGTGAACAATCTGGGCAATGTGGTGCGGGCAATCCTAAACAGCTTCAACTGGACACGCACCGCCCTGATCTATCAGAACGAGAACGCCAAGACCAAGGGAAACTCGGTGTGCTTCCTGTGTCTGGCCGCCATCCACGACACCATCGAAGAGCACTCGGTCTACCAGCTGGGTTTCGACACCTCAACCTGGACCAAGGCGGACATCACGCGGATGCTTAAGAATGTGGCCATGCAAACGAGAAGTAAGTGGTGATGTTCTTAGAATCTTTGCAATAAATATTAAACGAAAAATGAAAATTCTTAAATAATTTATATTTTATTTAAAGTCAAAATCATTTCCTATACATATCGACCTTATTAGTCACATTACACCCATGTGATATCTGTAATGAAACTAAATAGAGACCTTGCCACTTGACCATCTGATGCACTTGCCGTGCCAATGAATGTCGGGCTGCATCCACCCTGAACTCCCAGACCCCATTGCGTGCAACATTGAAAGCGAAATCGATCTAATTATAATTGGCAAACGTAACAACGACAAGTTCAAGAAACCAAATAAATAGGAAGCAGTGTGTAGATGCACCAAATCAAGCCACAGGCCAAAGCAGATGGTGAATGTGCCATAATTACAATATTATTTATAGTCGTTCTGGTACTACGCCGCGTATGAGCAATGTTTGCCAACAAACGTACACGCTGTGAAATGTATTAATTTAATGAATTGAAGGTTCCGATCAGAGGAGGAACCCGTGCAGTTAATTAAAACATCACATTGGCAAACCATAGCCCAGCGGTTATTGAGCCGTCAGCTGTCATAGCCGAATTATAGACAGCTGATAGTCGCATATTAAGCATACGCACCATCAACCCGCTCGCCTACTTGCATTCTTGCAATGCGCTGGTAACGAAATTGTTTAATTACGGCTCATTTAATTTCATTTAATGGCAATTAACACAGTAAATAATCACAATCGTTATTCATATTTTGTGAGGCAGTCACAGCATTACGATTAACAGTCCTATGCAAATCGAATTTTAATTGCGAAAAAGCTGCGAGAAAAAAAAAACTAGGGACTAGCTCTTGGCAATGGTGGGGGAACGCGTTCTGTTCATTGATTTGCACACATACGGTGAAAGCTATTAATTTCATAATGGTGCATTTGCTTTAGCTAATAAAATCAAAATCGACTGCATCGGATATCAAATGCCGAAACAATCAATTTTACAAGTATTCAAGCCTTGATTTCAAATGATGCCAAAATAATTCAATTTCTTACTTAATGAAGCATATTAATGGCTTGCATGCTCCTGGAATACTAAATGCTTCGTGTCTGCCAAAAATTATTTGGGGAAGCCGACAAAGAAAGTGGAGAATTATTGTTCAGATTTCTAACAATAGAACCGAGTTCAAGGGCAAAGAAATGATCAAGCACATGTTTGATATAAATCAGGACGTGATTTGTGTTTTTATTCAAATATTTAATTTTTTGACAAAAATATATAAAATAATAAAAAAAATATTATTTTATATAAAATATATAAAATATATAAAAATATATAAAAATAAATAAAAATTCCAATTTGATAAAGAATCTTTAATGCATTTTCCCCGTTTTTGAAGGGGACCCTCCAGAAAATTTGACAAAAATCGAAAAAAATAATTTATTCCTAAATTTTGATAAAGATTAATGGAAAATCGACTTACAAATCGTTTAAGGTATTCCGCTAAAGAATCGGATGATTATTCTTTGAGATATGGCCTTCGCAGGTGGCCATATTGTCGTTCCATGCATTTTCCCCATTTTTGAAGGGGACCCTCCAGAAAATTTGACAAAAAATCGAAAATATAATTAGTCCCTAGATTTTGATGCAGATTGATGAAGAATCGACTTACAAATCGTTTAAGGTATTCCCCTGAAGAATCGGATGATTATTCTTTGAGATATGAGCTTCGCAGGTGCCCATATTGTCGTTCCATGCATTTTTCCCATTTTTGAAGGGGACCCTCCAGAAAATTTGTCAAAAAATCGAAAATATAATTAGTCCCTAGATTTTGATGCAGATTGATGGAGAATCGACTTACAAATCGTTTAAGGTATTCCCCTGAAGAATCGGATGATTATTCTTTGAGATATGAGCTTCGCAGGTGCCCATATTGTCGTTCCATGCATTTTCCCCATTTTTGAAGGGGACCCTCCAGAAAATTTGTCAAAAAATCGAAAATATAATTAGTCCGTAGATTTCGATGCAGATTGGTGGAGAATCGATATACAAGTTAAATAAGATAGAAATAGGCAAAGATATGGCCTTCGTTGAGGCTCATATTGACCTTTCATTCTATTTTTAGAAATTTATTGTGGACTCCAAAAAAATTGACAAAAAATCTGGTGGCCTTTTATGGGGGTCATATTGTCATTCTGTTAAAGCAAACTTTGATACCGTCGGAAGATATTCCTCACCTTTTATTGGTAATTTGATAACTTCCTGGACTCGTTACTTATTTATTGTTTTCGTATTGTTTTAAAACAAGTACATTGTTTGCGGATTGATTTATGAATAAAAGTGATTATTTAAATTTGTATACAAATTTTACAACTCAGGCCCATGATTCATTTCACTTCAATTATGCTCAACAATGCCTTTTTGGATATATATGTATGTATGTAACATAAATATTATGACTCAACTGGCTGCTCACAAGAGCGAGACATGTAATATATAAAAGCAGGAGACAACTAAGGAAAATAAAAATTTTATAATTAAATCAAGTCAATTGCACATTTGTGCCCTGAACTTGAAATTGTCTGTACGGCTTCTACGCCTCCTCTGAGTAATTATATTTCTGCCAGAAAGATTCAAGATGACGTCGAAAGTTCTATTATGAGGCAAGAGCTCTGCGCTGAAATTGAAATTGATTGTCTTGGGTGTTGAGATGCAAGTTGATATGTGAGTATCAATGAATGGTGAAAGCTTAACAATTAATGTGGCATTTGCTTGCATTGTGGCATAGTTGTGTCGTATTTGTGATTGCAACATATTTGTACAGCAAATATGGCAACATATTTGCATATCAAGCTTTGTGGACAACACCTCCTATATGCAACTACATGTGCAATGTATTAGTTTATGCTGGATTCGATAAATCCTAGCTGTTTGTAAACTTCATTGACAATCTATTTTAGTTGATGGAATTAATACGAGCTGAGTAATATTTTTTAATTGGGAGTTTACAATACTAAATAATTGCATGTAAAAACCGCATTAGATTGTCAAAAAGATCCTTTACTTAACAAATAAAGGAGGAGGAGATCAAAAGGAGTTTATTAAACATCAATCTTTTGAAGATTCTATTTGGCTTAAAGTGGTTCATCAACAATCAAGATTTTACCATTCTCTTCTGATCTAAAACATATCGAGAACTTGTTCAAGTACTGTCAAACATATATCAACTTGAACCTGAAGTACCATCAAGATTTTTTCGAGTTTTAATTTAAGAAACAATGTGATTTTGTGCTTCTCGTTTGGAATTACGCTTTGCATTCACTGACGTCAAAGAAACTGACTGACAGGCTTACAAGTTTCGTTTCGAGACGGAGAAGCTTTAAAATAAATTAATACATTTTTAATGACAAGACCAGCGGCTGTGGTTGGTTGCCTGTTAGACTGGTAGCTTCCACAAATAAGAAAAAAATCACCCATTTATCGATCTTATTTTGACTTTTATTTTTAACCTGTCTGGGGTTTCTTTTTTTTGCTTTGCAGTTGTCATAATGTGCGCCGATCCGCAGTCGATACGTCAAATTATGCTGACAGCCGAGGAGTTGAATATGATCGATAGCGGCGAATACGTTTTCATCAATATTGAATTATTTTCGCGGTGAGTATCTCAACAGAAGACAAACATATGAATTACTTAACAAAGTCAGATACACATACGGGCAAACACAAAAGGTGATCATTTATAGCAATTGCCAAACAATTTGTTGCCTTTCACTTTGATCGAATAACAAAAATAAAACATTTGTGAAAAAATCCACGCGCACATTTTGTGAAAAAAAAGTTTATATTCTTTACAAACTGCGCATGAACAACATTAGTCAAGGTTGTTAATGTTGTGAAATGTTATGTACCAAAGCACTGGACAAAAATAGCTTCTGCATTTACCACACAAGAGCCCTAACTATTTTTAAATTGAGGAAATTCCATATTTCGGCACATGGCCGATCGATTAAAGCCCCAGTCTCAACCTCATCTCTCCGTCTGGTCGCAGCCGTCCGAATAATGGCCAAAAGGCAAAGTGCTCAAGCCAGACTCCGAGCCAAGTTCATTATGATTATCCATAAGCATTAGTGCTGAGTAATGCCCAAGCTTCTTTGTTTGCTGAAGCAATCTCGCAGACCAGCTCTTTTGGCCAGGTCTTTGTTTTTGACCCGCTTATAACACTTCTACGGGGGTGGTGTTCGATTCAGCCTGGAATTCTTTCTAAAATTCCACACTAAATATATAGAATTGCAACGGCTTGTATTTGCATGTGCATTTAATGCATTCTAATCGCCCGACCTTCATGACACTCGCAATCAATGGAAAATTATTGCGTATATACACAGTAATCTATATACTAACTGTACATAGTATGTGATGCCGGTACGTTACTTGGATTAGCTAATCAATTTCCTGTTTTAAAAAAGATCGAACTAATCGGAATGCTATGCGATTAAAAGCCAACCACGAGATCTTATAAAAATGTAACTTAATTAAAACCCATTCCCAGAATTTCATAAATTCCTTTCATAAATACGCTAAGAAAGTAAATCAATAAATTTAAATGCTTCCAACCACTAACAAGCCCCAAATGATAACAGGGTAAATATACTTCGGGGTGGACGGGCAGAATGGGGTCTTGAGGGGTCTAATGAATTCCAAATGTATTTACAATTTACATGAAGTCGAACATAGGAGTATTGGTTCTCATAGGCCTTTGTATGTGGAAACCACACACTTAGTGTGTGTTTTCCTTTGTATGTGGAAACCACACACTCTATTTATAAACATTTTATGACGCATATCAATAGCTGGTAATAAAATCAAACCAAAGGCAGCACAAAGGCGAATTAAAACTGCATTGATAACAAAAAACTATATTTACAAAAAAAAAAAGAAGAACAAATCGAAAAACCTCTAAGCGTGATTACAATTAAAAGGGCAAACTACAAAGATTACATTCAGTATACTCCGGGCTATGAAGTGTAAACAAATGATATAAAAAATTAAAAAATACCACAATGCTTTTAAGTCTTAATGATTACAGAGTACTGTCTATTTTAGTGTATACTTTACTTATATTTTTGTTTAAGTATTGCATAAAAAATAAGCGGTGTAATATAAAGAATATTTTTAAAATGGATACTTATTACTAATTACATTTTATAAATGTATTCAGCGATGTATACAAACAAATATAAATACACTAGTGTTAGCTTTAAAAATGTTTTTTCCTAAACTCGATTAAAATAAAAACAACATAATTTATATAATAAATAAATTTATATAATTTATATTACAAACCAAAAAAATAAAGTCCATAAAACCAAAGAAAACCAAACGATTCTACTTTTTTGATGGACTACTGTATGTGCCAGATTGAAAATGATTATTCGAATTTATTTAATTAATATAATATATGAATATATGGGTTTTTTGATTTTTAGGGTTCCCTATCTGACGTCCCAGCCGTGGTACGATAAGAACGATACGGATTTGAATAATGAGCGGGCACAGAAGGCCTACACCGCCATGCTGACCGTAACACCCAAACAACCGAATGACAACGAATACACGCGAGTCTCCAATGAGGTGAGTTTTGGTGGCTCCGGTTGGGGATGGGAATTACAGGCATTTGCATGGAAATGGATGTGGAAGCCAATTTGAAAATTTTTGCAGATTTCTTTTGTTTTTACGCTGGTTCTTTCGCCTCTTTTGGCCAGCCGTGTTCCTCTTTTGGCCAGCCTCATGCATACTCAATGCCAGTGCACGTTCCAGTGCCCTCGGCCGCAGACTATTTTGCATTGGGGCGGGGAGGGGGCTTTTGGGCATTGTAAACAATATTCTGTTGATACATGGTAAATTACAACAATGCCCACAACACCTGAAAGTAAATGCCAGAGGAGCACTTAACAAGACTTTGAACGTTACAGACTACTGCCTCTTAATAGTGGAAGTAAGAGGTGTTAAGAAGCAGTTCAGAACTTTATAAATTTTTCGCTAATAGGATTTATAGTTCCCAACAGTTTTCTTTAAGAAATTCAACTTTAATCGCTAGTTTTCTAGGAAAACGCAGCTCTTGCCAAATCCATTCCAGCCTCGCTGGCCAAAGAAGGACGGCAAACAAAATCCGCCAGTTGCCAGTAGCGGATTGGAGTGCGGTGTGCAATAATTTCCACATGGATTGTGACAAAACGTTCTATAGAAGTTCCTTCTTTATCCCGTCTCCGTTCCGAGTGAGCGGACGCGTAATTGAATTTTCACGGGGGCCAAAGCAATTAAAGGGGGAAAAGCGTCGCTGGAAAAGCGCACAGCAATTGATGCCCCTTGGCGGCATTTGGTTGACAGGGAATGGGGCTTAGGGAATGGGGAGAATGGAGCGAATCTAACTGCCAGCTGAAGAGAGATTAATGCGTCTGGGATTTCCCACTCTGTGTCCCATTTACAGATCAAAGCCATCGCCGCGGAGAAATACAATTACACGTTCAGCGACAACGAACCGATTTCAGCATTCGTCACCTCCTTCTTCGACGGAGTCCTCCTCTACGCCAATGCCCTGAACGATAGCATCCGGGAGGATCCCTCCATGCTGACGCGTCCCATCAACGGCACGGACATGGTGCGCCGCATGTGGAACCGTAGTTTCACTGGCATCACCGGAAACGTGACCATTGACGCCAATGGAGACCGACTCTCGGCCTACTCTCTCCTGGACATGAATCCCAGCACTGGACGCTTCGAGATAGTGGCCCATTTCCTGCACAATCGGTTGGAGTTTGAGGCCAACAAGGAGATACACTGGGCAGGAGATCGCGAGGAGGCGCCACCGGATCGTCCTAGTTGCGGATATGATGGTGCCTTGTGTCCCGATAATTGTAAGACCCTGAATTTTCAAATCTAATCTTTTTATCTATAATTTCAACTACTGTTCAGCTCTACCCGGCTATGCAATCCTTTCGATCATCCTGGGCAGCATGGTGGTAGTGATGGCCGTGTGCTTTTTCTTTGGCTATCGTCACTACATCGCCGAGGCTGAGATCAACTCGATGAGCTGGAAGGTGTCCCTGGAGGATGTGATGTTTCGGGACGCGGCCGAGCGGGGACTACGCGGCTCCTTCCACTCTCTGGTGAAGCAGAGCTCCCAGCTGACCCTAATGTCTGAGGACATGGTCTCGATCAACGGCGATCGGCAGATCTTTATACCGGTGGGTATGTTCCGTAAGAGCAAGGTGGCCATCAAGCCCATCGAAGTGGACAACGTGCACGGCCTGCTCACTCGCAGCCTGATGCTGGAATTGAAGCGCATGAAGGACCTTCAGCACGACCATCTGGTCAAGTTCTATGGAGCCTGCTTGGACCAGCGTCGCAGCTTCTTGCTAACGGAATACTGTCCAAAGGGATCCCTACAGGACATCCTGGAGAACGAGCAGTTTCAGCTGGACTGGATGTTCCGACTGTCCCTGATGCACGACATCGTGAGGGGCATGCAGTTTCTGCACAGCTCGGATATTCGGTCGCATGGCAACCTCAAGTCCTCCAACTGCGTCGTGGACTCTCGCTTCGTGCTCAAGATCACAGACTTTGGACTGCACAGCCTGCGGCGGACGAGGTTCGATCTCGAGAGTGATGGCGGCAACTGCAACAGCCACGCCTACTGGAGCAGTAAGTTATTAAAGTTTTTAAAGATTAAGTTAATTAAATATGTATAAATAATACGTATATAATTTTTAAAAAATACTTTAACATCAAATATATTCTTTCTTCAGAGCTGCTGTGGACGTCCCCTGAGCTGCTGAGATTGGAACACCAAAGGGCACCCGAGGGCACCCAAAAGGGCGACGTCTACGCCTTTGGAATCATTGTGCATGAGATAACCACTCGACAAGGTCCTTTCTATCTGGGCAAGTGTGCCTACGAGAAATCCCCACAAGGTATGCAATGGAATTACTCTTATGGCCCTTATGGCCTCTCCCGAACCCTCTCAACCCGCCATCCACTTGCTCGTTTTCGTTTCGTGTTGTGGCCGATTTTGTCTGTACGGAATTTTAATGCCGGATTTTTGCACATGCTGCGGTTACTCCGGTCCGTCAGTTGGCCTTTCGGTGGCAAGTGTGGTTTGTGGGCATGTGGGAGACAGGGCAAATTAGCACGAGACGTGCTGGAAATACTCCAGGCGAAGCGAAAGTATGTATTTCTCAATTCCACGACCAAAAATCTCAAGAATGTTGATGTGTTTCTCAAACTTCTTAAATAGATTTATATTGAAATGACTTAATATTCGACAACCTTAAAGATAGAAACCCAATAGTAGATCTACAAGTCAGCCTAGATACTTTTTAGCCACTTTAAGGGTTTGATTTTGGTTTTTTTATTTCAAATGCCAAATAATGAAAACCAAAAGTGATTTGGGGTTGCGCTGGTTTTTTATTGTTTTGCGCCACCACACTTAAAGTTCCGACCCTCGAAATATATAGAAAACTTTAAGCCCGTTTACGAGACTAGCGCCGATTTGAATTGCCGTTGGAAACTTGGTCTTCGAGTTGGCAAAAGTGTGTCGACCGTGGCTGGCAGACACTTGACGGATTCATCAAATTATGCTGCGCCCCGGCTGTGGGAATCAGAAGTCACTCGTCCTTCGCAGTGGCACAGCCACTTGTCTGCCAGGCAGAATGCAACTTTGGCAGCCACTTGCCAAGAGAGAGTTGTGTCTGTGGACGAATTTAATTGCGGTCTTGGCGCTCTGGAAATCGAAATCAAATTGCAGGCTGGCCAAAAAGTTGCTGCCTCTACCAAATCACGAACTCTTCTGGGGGCGAGACACGTCCACGCAGACGGAATCGGTACGGGGTATACTCCAACCGCAGAAGAATGGCATCAAGGCCCAGCAGCCGGGTATCTTCCTTTTTCCCAAACCAATATCCTTATCCATGCTGCGTACTTTGTCCTTGCTCCTGCTCTTCGTCGGGGAGCTTATCCTACTGGGGCTTTTGCACAAAGGCCCTCCTGATGGCTCATGTAGCGCCAGAAGATACTGATTTTGTTGCTGCTCCAGCTTCTGGAGCCACTCGATGCGGGATCTGCCCCAGCTGCAGCGGTCGGCATGAGGGGATGACTTTCTCATGTCCAGAAAAACCACCTCGGCATCCGTGGGTTCAGGTCTTACCTCCGAGCCGCCACATTGTCTCTTTCTGGATTTGGATAGCCGACGCATTGTCGAGCCGACGGTCAGGTTTCTCAGAAGATCCGCCAGCTGGTCGTGGGGCAGGCACTTCTTTTGCCGGCAGATCGCCTGAAGCAGGAGTTCGTGGGGCTGACGATCGCGAGCATACGGTCGTAATGGCCTCTCCACCAGAAAGGGACACACCCAGTCCAAATATTGTTTCCTGGAGCACATTAGAGTTGATGGTGTTGTTGTTGATTGTCTGGGCAACAGGATATGTATGTGTTGACACAAAACAACACTAAACACAAGGAATTTACATAACTGACTGACGAAAAAATGCTCCCATCCTAATTCAAGATATTCAAATTAATTCAAGGCCTTCTCCTATTGCAGAGATTATCGAACTGGTTAAGGGATATCATCCGCAGCGAATGCAGAAGCCCTTCCGACCAGAGCTGGAGCCCAATGGCGACACAAAAGCAGACATCAATGGCATCATTCGACGTTGCTGGGCCGAGGATCCTGCCGACCGCCCAGACTTCAATACCCTCAAGTCCATGATAAGGAGGTTCAACAAGTAAGTTCCTCTTCCATCACATATTTCCAAATCAAAAGTCATATAAGTCCTTTCTTTCAGGGATAATGAAACGGGCAATATAGTAGACAACCTACTGAAGCGCATGGAGCTGTACGCCAACAACCTGGAGGAACTGGTGGAGGAGCGCACCCAGGACTACCACGAGGAGAAGAAAAAGTGCGAGAAGCTGCTCTACCAGCTGCTCCCACAGAGTGTGGCCGCACAACTGATCAGCGGACAGCCCGTGGTGGCGGAGACCTTTGACCAGGTGACGATATACTTCAGTGACATCGTGGGATTCACGGCCATTTCGGCGGAGAGCACGCCCATGCAGGTGGTGCAGTTCCTTAACGATTTGTACACCTGCTTCGATTCCATAGTGGAGAACTTTGATGTGTACAAGGTAGAGACGATCGGAGACGCCTATATGGTGGTGTCAGGCCTGCCGATACGAAATGGCAACCAGCATGCCCGGGAGATAGCCCGTTTGGCTCTGGCCCTGCTGGAGGCGGTTCACAATTTCCGTATCCACCACCGCCCGGAGGACCGGCTTAAGCTGAGGATTGGCCTGCACACGGGAGCCTGTGTGGCGGGGGTAGTGGGCCTGAAGATGCCACGCTACTGTCTCTTTGGAGACACGGTCAACACTGCCTCTCGGATGGAGTCTAACGGGGAGGCCTTAAAGATTCATATTAGCGAAACTACCAAACAGGCTCTCGACGAGTTCGGCACCTTCGTGACCACCCGACGTGGCTTTGTTCCCATGAAGGGCAAGGGTGAGATGCTCACTTACTGGCTGGAGGGGGAGGTGCCGCGTCCCGATAGCCTAATCTCCCCCAGCAAGCTAATGCTAACCCGTCGATCATCCCTTAAGCAGCCCCAACGCAGTCAGTCTCATCACCTGCACAAGCAGTACTCCGAACTGGTAGTGGCCTCACCCCCGCCCCAGATGGTGGCCACGCCCACCATTGCCCTGCCACCGCCGCCCACTTCCCTATCCAAGGACTCGCCCAATCTTCGGGTGAAGCGCAAAATCAGCTCCAGCTCCCCGAAGCTGAATGGCAGTAGCTTCGACTATCACAAGACTGAGAATTTGTATCTGGAGCCCCAGCAGCGCCAGTGCGACATCTACAGTAGCCGCAGTCTGCGGGACATGGAGGAGACCTCCGACAGCTGGGAGCTGGCCCACTTCCGGCTGCCCCTAAGTGGAGCCCTCAAGAGCCACCATCACCTCAACAACAACAATAGTCATAACTATGCGCAATCGAATTCTAGCTCCAATCTGAGCGGCATCCTGCAACCGCCGCCGATGATGATGATGGGTTCCAGCAGGGGCGCCCGGCTAAAGCCCTCGCCCACGATCTCAACGCTGCTGACGGGCGCCAGGGCAGGAGATGCCGCAGAAACCGGAAGCATTGGCAGTGGCCAGATAAGGATCAAGTTTGCTGAAGGAGATGAGGCACCCTTGCTACCTGCAGTTCCTCCGCCCACAGCTTCACCGTCGCTGCCTCTGAACGCTAGTCCCCAGAGAAGTGGCAGTGGAAGCGGGAGTGGCAGCAACTGCGGCAGCACTAGCGTTGTAAACCAAAACATTCCGCCGGAGGGCAATCACTACGGCTACCTGGTTAAAAGTTTCAAGCAGCAATGTCCCCCAGTGGCGGGCAGTGGCGTCACCCAGCCACTCCTGGCAAAGATCAACTCGTAGCTATAAGCCAGTGGTGGGGGGCAGTCAAAGTCCGCCCCCCACCCGCACACCACCCACTCGTAATCATATGCATATTAAAGGTACTTGTTTGTGATAATAAGTTAAACCCAAGTTGAACAAGTTAGCGGTTAAATTCTTTAGTCGACCGAATCAAATTCGAAATTCGTACGGAAAATCTTCTGAAAATGTTATTTAGCGTTTAATTGTCCTTTCCTTTTACTCATAAGTAGCGAATTTTAAATGTAATTAATCGAAAAAGAAGATTTAAAAAACAAAACTCGATGTATATAGAAAAGTACTCCCAAGACCGATTTGTTCCTTGCACTTTGAATATTAATTTTCTCCAAACTCGGAAACTTATTTTAAAGTAGATATTAGCTTAATTGTTAAGCGTAGGCAATTTGTGAAAATTTCGTGTAAGTAAAGTATTAGATGAATATGAATATTTATTTTTAAAATTTACGAATAACAAACTCTGTGTAAACTATTAAATACAACTATTATATTGCGATTGAAACCAGTTTAATGAATTTTTAGTGGTACTTCAGATTATGTTTTGATTTAAATTTTAAAATAAGAAGAAAATTATGGAGTTTAAAATCGGCAAAGAATTTTGAATAGTCGTGCCAAGAGCCCGGGATTATTTGAAAATGTTTTATTCAGCGCTTTCCAACACTTTTTTCAGTACTGCCACACGGCCCAAATCGCATAGATCTGGCAGCCCCAAAAGCGACAAGTAAATAAATAACAACACAAAAAAAAAAAAATTGTCGAGGTGCGATCTTGTTGCCGGAGTTTTAAATCGTTAATTGATTTAATTAGTTATCCGGTTTCATCTGGGCCCTTAAGTGCGGGTAAGTGCTTTGCGAAGGAAGGTACCCACAAAAATTTGGGCCATTGCATAATTTTACATAGCCAATGGACTCGATGAATTGCAACTTTCCACGGTCCACACGAGCCCCATTCTGAATTAAATATAATTAAAAGCTGAGAGAATTTGCACTGAAAGTGTGGTTTCCCTATTGGTGTCGGCTGATTATTTGGTGATTAGTTGCGAAATTGCGCCCGCCCCATAAAACAAAGTAATTGTTCAGCGAACACTCACAGCCCGGGTTTATCTTTTTCGTTTCCATCAGGGCTATCAGAGCTTATCATTCAGTGTGTTTTACTATTACTCTTCTGTCCGTCCTAGGAATAAGGCCTCAGAATGTTGTACTGCCCGCCCAACGTGACTCTCAGTGAGGTCTGGACAAAGCATGGCATCTCCCACTGCTTCATGGACACCGTGGGTCCGGCAGTCTATGGCGGATTTCTTGTGCTCTTTGGCTGCATTCAGCTCTTGATGTACAGGAAGTATGCCACCCGTATCACGGATCCCACTCAGTTTTCCAGATCGCGCCTGTATGCCGTGCAACTCTTCCTCCTGCTCTTTCTTCCTGTCGTGGCGTTGCTTCGCTTCTTCCTGAATGCTCGAATATATCCGGACAGTGTCGTCTATGGTTACATGGTGAGGAGGGAAACTCTCCTTGTATAAATTATATCTATAAATTATATATATTTTTTTTCTTTCTATAGATCTTTTCAACCTGCGTTGTGTGCGTCTCCTACCCGTTTAGTATATGTTTGATCCTAAAAGAACGCTTCTATCAGCTTCCTTCAGTACCCACTCGTGGGCATGGCCTCATTCTTTTACTCTTTTGGACGCTGGCTTTCATCAACGAGTCACTGGCGTTTATAAACCTTCGCCACGAGGACTGGTGGTTCCATCTGAAATCGTAAGTTCAGCCTGGGAGATATTTATTTAAAATCAGAAATTATAAATCCATGTCTTAACAGCAACAAAGATGCCATTGAAATGGGACTGTTCGTTACCCGCTTCTTTTGCTCCCTGCTCATATTTGTTTTGGGTCTCAAGGCGCCTGGAATTATGGCTCCGTATAACCCGCACCAAAGGCTAGACGACTCCTCCAGCGAATCCCAAGGAGCAACGCCTACAGGTTCTGCTTTTAGGAATGGTTGGCGCAAACTGCGGACATTGTTTCCCTACCTATGGCCCAAAAAGGATCTGGCCTTGCAGCTGGCGGTAATTGTGTGCATTATACTGCTGATTGCGGGACGAGTCATAAAGCTGTTTTTGCCCATTTATCGCAAGAAGTTGGGTAGGTCAGGGTATCTTTTGAATTGAGTCACATTTTGCTAATTTCATCTTTTTACAGTGGACAGTTTGACCATTGCACCCATTATCTTCCGCTGGGACTTTGTGCTTATCTATGTGGCGCTATCCTTTCTTCAAGGGGGTGGCACTGGCAGCATGGGACTGTTTAACAATCTGCGCACTTTCCTCTGGATACGTGTACAGCAGTACACTACCCGAGAGATCGAGATTGAGCTGTTCAGGCATCTGCATCAGCTGTCTTTGAGGTGGCACTTGCACCGGAAGACCGGAGAAGTGCTACGAGTCATGGATCGTGGCACGGATTCCATCAACAACTTGCTTAATTACATAGTCTTCTCCATAACTCCCACAATCCTGGATCTTCTGGTGGCTGTGGCTTTCTTTATATACGCATTCAACTGGTGGTTTGGACTAATCGTATTCCTCACCATGTTTTTGTATATAGGTAAGCTTTAAAATCAATGTAATAGTTCCCATCACTGATCTATTTTTCTCCTTCAGCTTCTACCATTGCAATTACTGAGTGGCGGACACAGTACCAGAGACGGATGAATTTGGCGGACAATGAGCAACGTGCCCGCAGTGTTGACTCCCTGCTGAACTTCGAAACCGTAAAGTACTACGGGGCAGAGCACTACGAAGTAGACTGCTACAGGGAAGCCATTCTGAAGTACCAAAAGGAGGAATTCCTCTCCATGCTGACACTGAATATGCTAAACACGGCCCAAAACATAATCCTGTGCCTGGGACTGCTGGCCGGATCCCTGCTCTGTGTTTATCTGGTGGTTCATCATCAAACACTGACTGTGGGTGACTTTGTTCTCTTCTCCACTTACCTCATGGAGTTGTACATGCCACTCAACTGGTTCGGCACTTACTACCGGGCCATCCAGAAGAACTTTGTCGATATGGAGAACATGTTTGACCTGCTACGCGAGGAGGAGGAGATTGTCGATGCGCCAGGATCTTCCCCACTTCTGACCGCCGGTGGTTCCATTGAGTTCTCCAATGTGACCTTTGGATACTCTCCAGAAAAATTGGTGCTACGCAACGTGAGTTTTACAGTGCCCGCTGGGAAAACTGTGGCCATTGTAGGACCCTCGGGAGCCGGCAAAAGCACCATTATGCGACTGCTATTCCGATTCTACGACGTCCAAACGGGAGCCATTCTGATTGATGGCCAAAACATAAAGTTGGTTCAACAGCAAAGCCTGCGACAGGCCATCGGAGTCGTGCCACAGGATACAGTTCTTTTCAACAATACCATCTTCTATAATATCGAGTATGCCAAACTGGGTGCCTCTGCGGATGCAGTTTACGAAGCTGCCCGAGCTGCCGATATCCATGAGAAGATTCTCAGCTTCCCGGATAGCTATGAGACCAAGGTTGGAGAGCGGGGTCTGCGACTCAGTGGCGGAGAGAAACAAAGAGTGGCCATCGCCCGGACCCTCCTGAAAGCCCCCATTATTGTGCTGCTCGACGAGGCCACTTCTGCTCTAGACACGCATACGGAGCGGAATATACAGGCTGCCTTGGCCAGGGTTTGCGCCAATCGTACCACAATTATAGTGGCCCACAGACTGTCTACCATCATCCACGCAGATGAAATTCTCGTGCTGAAAGAGGGCAACATAGTTGAGAGAGGCCGACACGATCAACTTGTGCTGCGGGATGATGGAGTCTATGCGGACATGTGGCAGCAGCAGCTCAAGAACTTGGACACGGATCAGAGTGGCTCAGACAACGGCGATACTGGCACGGATTCGGGATCGGAGAAACGCAGTGCCGGTGGTAAAGGACCAGGACCCGCAGCCGGACCAAGTGGTGCTGGAGTCGGTGGTGGTGGTGGTGCTCATTTTAGGGCAGGACATGCTCACGGAGGAGCGCGTTAGTCCTAAGACGGACAAACTCAAAGTACTTTTTGTTATTCCTGTTTCCATGTGATTAATGGTATATTGTTATAGGTCTGAGCTGTTCGTCAAAGTCTAAGTTCGTCTTTAAGTAATCTTATACGCTACTCTTATATTAAATAAACACTTAGATTTTTATAGACAATCTGTGGGAGCGTAAGAGCATTGCTTTTTAAGAAGTACAAATAAAAAATAATAGCTAACTTTCAAATAATTTGTAAAAGAAATTAAAGGACCAAACATCCAGTTTGTTTCAACTCCGTGTTTAAGATTAGAGAAGTATCTTTTAGGATTATTAAGAGCAGAGGCAAGCGTCTTATGAGAGGGACCAGCTGCTCTTTGGAGGGCTGATGCTTATCAGTGGAATGGAACCTCCAGCAAGGCCAGATCTCCGGCTCCGGCTGGCAGCTTCAGTCCGAGTTTGGATCGCGAACCGAGCAGACGTCGCAGTTGTGTGTTTCGAAAGAAAAAAATTAACAGATAAAGAAGTAAAAGCGGCGGCTCCTTTGAAACATATCTGATAATACAAAGTCGCATTCGTATACTATATATAGACATTTTTCCGAAAACGTCACATCATACCATATACGATCCAATCTTGTGCGGAGTGAAAATCGTTGGAAAATCCGTGAGATAACGAGTGTCAAGCACTCGGAAGGAAGTCGCAGGCCATGAGGCGACTCAAGTGTTCCGTGTTTGTGTGTACGTAAGAGTAACCTAGTTGATAATCCCAACTATATCAGAAATTAATTCAAGAACATGACGTAATGTTTCATTGACGAGTGCGCATAAAAAAAGAAGCAGAGGAGCAACATTGATTAAAGCATTTTGCGATCATTCATATGCGTATATATAAATATATTCCATATACACATCCCCATGAGTATATTTATATATATATATGCATATATATATAAGAACAAAATTCAATTGATAATTGAAGAGTTTATTGCCCATCCGCCAGAATGCGACACAGGCGAACGCATACTGTGTGTGTGAATTGAACTTCAATTTCCCGTCTATCTATCTGGCAGATCTGTTCCTGATCTTCGATGCCGGTCATGCCCTCAGCATCATCGGCCTCAACAAACAGATGCTCTACGAGTACGCGGGCAATGTCCTGGTGGGTGCCAAGCCCCAGGACGAGGGCCAGCCGTCGCCACCCACCACCGGCTGGATAGTCCGGGGGAAGCTTACTCTCCAGCGGCAAAGTGAACTTGTCCTGGCAGCAGCGGTAAGTTCTTGGAGATTCTTTTAGGCTAGGATTATTTTTTGAGTAATATGGCTAGGGGGAGTTCCTTAATATACATCTTTCAAGCCCAGAACTTGCAGGATATTTTTCAAACAACATTTTCGAGAAGCTTTAGAATTAATTTTGGAATTAGCCCTAACTATAGGTAATTCCATAATATTTGAGGAACTGGTGCATCTATTTATTTAAATACAATTTTTTAGAAATTAACAAATGTTCTAATTTGCCAATTTTATTGCATTTATACTTCTAGCTATAATTTCGAATTTTTTAGGAAGCAATTTAGGAATGTTTCGTTTGATCTTTACTGACCCGATGATTAATTCCCCTGCTTTTTGAAATAATATTTTTGTTTACACACAAAAAAAATACGCGGTTGCCGTGTGATCATCATCATATATAAATATTTTAATTTAGTAATATATATACTTAATTTCTGTCTGTACACGATCTACATGCATATATGTAGATTCTGAATAAAAATCAGTGAAAAATCAAATCAATTTATTGATTTCATTATCAATTTGTACGATTCAATCAGCGCATTCTTCGACTCATACCCCATTCCCAGAGACAGCTACAGCCCGAGAAGAATTCGCAGAAGAATTGAAGAAAATTTAACCTTTCACAGAGTCGCCAAGAGGCAGAGCGAAGTGCCCACAATGAGCTGAACTCGGCTGTGAACTTCTTTCATTGAGCTCCCACAGATAATGCCAATACAGCCGCATATAGCCCCGGTCCCCGGGTTCCCTGTCAAAGAGTGAATGTGTGGGGTATAGTGTATGAATGCTCATATATACGAATGGGTAATCAGCTCTGATTGTTTTGACTGAGCGACTCTAGGAGTAGCCCTCGCTTATCAGAGAATGAGCGCGATTCTCATTTGAAAAAAATGAGATAATGTTTGTCCGATAAACGGTGATAACCCTTATCAGCCGGTCGGATAGGGATCCGACGCGACCCTAGCCGGGATGGGAGATTACAGCATCGCGGGGCTTCCCCGTTGACAATCGTTGACAATGTTTACCCCTTCTTTAATTTCAGCTGGTCATAGACGATGTAACGCTTAACAACTCGGGGGAGAAGTTCCTGCAGAACAAGGAGATGTACCCGCCCTACAAGCCCTTCAAAATCGTCCTCACTCCGGAGGGTGCCATCACGCACGTGGCATTCAAGGAGGGCGATCCCATCTGGAGTATGAACTTCAAACGGGCTATTGCCTCGGTGCTCCAATTTCAGATAAAATCCAGCGGGGCTTTCGTCGTAAATGAGGTAACCATTTAAGAAACTATTACTTTATCTTTTAATAAAAAATATCTCCTGAAACAGCTTGGCATCCATGGCACCTGTGCCACCGAGTACTTTGTGTCGAACAAGACCAACTACATCTCCATTCGAAAGACGCCGGAACTGAAGACCTGTGTTCCGTACACGGAAGCAGTACACAACACGAGGAGTAATGTGCCACCAAACACCTGCGAGTACGATCACCAGAAGAGCGTAATTATTGGAAACGAGGCGATCTACGGACTACTGCCCCACAACGAGACCGGCTACTTCCTCGAAACCGCTCACGTCAAGGGCACTACTCTGATCCACACATTTGAGTCCACCGGAGAGGCCCAGTACATCAACTCGGAGCTGCTGCTCACATTTCTGAACGAGACAGCCATCGACAATCCCATCGACATTGAAACTTCAATGGCCTCTGCGCCCTCGAATCTGGAGCTCCAGCTGCTTGATCCGAACGACCCCACTGGCGGAAGGAATCCGCAACAACAGGAGACCCTAATAGCCCAGGCTTCCGCTATTCTGGACCTTTTGGCGGAAGGCCTAGAGACCACGGAATTCAAGTTCTCCGAACCGTACGATTCCACTCTTTCCGACGTGATTAAGGTGCTAAGCGAAATGGACTTTGATTCTCTGAAAAGACTCTACCACGAGGTCAACATTGGCACGTCCTACCGTCAGGAGACCATCCGTAACATCTTCCACGAGATCATACCCCGCATCGGCACCAAGGCCTCCGTCTTCCTCACCCACCACTTGGTGGTCAACAAGATGACCAAGTCACAAATTGCGGTGCAACTGCTCATCCCCATGCCGTTCCACATCTTTGAACTGTCCAGGGAACTGGTCCTCAAGTGTGTGGACTTCTTCAACATCGGACCAGAGCGTCCGGATGTGCGCCAGGCTGCTATCCTCAGTTTCGCCACCCTGGTCCACAATGTGTACATGGCCAAGGGCATCGACAAGGAGGAATTCGAGGAGTACGTGCAGCAGTTTTTTAATAACTATTTATGTAAGTATTTAAAAAATAAGTTTTAATAAATTATTTAATTATAATTGTCCTAACTCCTTTCTAGCCCAACGTGACTTTGATCAGAAGATGTTATACCTCCAGGGATTGAACAATCTGCAGCTGGGTAACGTGGCCGACTACCTGGAACCCATTGTCCAGGACCCCAACGAGCACGATGATCTCAAGTTCCAAGCAGCGTGGACCACTCTGGCTCTGGCGGATCGGCGAGCAGAGCGAATCTACGAGATTTACTGGCCAATCTTCGAGTCGCGAAATGCCAGCCTGGAGCTTCGGGTGGCCGCCGTAACCCTGCTGCTGATCTCCAATCCCACGCCCGCCCGCCTTATCAGTATCCATCGCATCATCCAGAGCGAGACGGATCCGCACATGATCAACTACTATAGGACCACGGTGACGAGCATCTCGGAAACTACTTATCCCTGCTACCAGCCGCTGCAAGTGCTCCCGTCTCACTTGCCCCAAATACATCCAAACCTAATGCGGACATCTCTTTCAGGCGCCGCCTCCTGTCCTACATGCACCGCCACCTGCCCCAGAAGCCGGAGCCGAGATACTGGGTTACGGGTAACTACATCTTTGACTACCGCGACTCCAAGTTCGGAATCGGAGCCATGTTACAGGTCTTCCTGGTCGGTGACCCCAAGTCGGACATGCCAGTGGTGGCATTCTTCAAGTTTGACACAGAAGCCCTGGGAAAGTTCACGGGACAACTGGCGGTGAGTTGGTGGAGCATAGTACATATATCGGATAAAAATATGAAATATGATGTCTTTTTCCATAAAAGCTATATGTGAAGGCTCGTGGCCTACCGGACACCGTCCTGAACAAGTGGAAGTCGCGGAACAGCAGTGAACCTTTCACCGTCAAGAGTATTAAGGCGTTGCTGGCCATGCTGAATGCTCCCCTCATCAATGCAAAGGACCTCCACTTGGAGTTTATGGTGCAAATGGAGGGCAAGACAGTCCTCTCGTACTACCTCAATCAGCGAATGTTTGACCAACTGACCTACAACAACAGTGAGTGGGCCTAGATTCCTATCCTTAATCCTTACCAAGTATGTATCTTTCAGTTCTGGAGCGAATGCAGCAGATCATCCGTACGGATAGCCACATCAACATGCAGACAGTGCGCTGGCCCTTTATGAATCGGTACTCGGTTCCGACGGTTCTAGGCACCGCCTCCGATGTCCTGTTGCAGACGACGGTGCTGACATCGCTGCGTGGTAACATGACGGAACAACGCAACCTGCCCATCTCCAAGCACACCTTGGAAATCGATGCCCGATACTCCTCATACGCATCCGTGCGCAGCCGCAGCTACAATCCATTCCTGAACCTGGACCATGAGATCAACAGGGAGCAGGGCTTCCTGATTTACATTCCGTTCAGTAGTGAACTAACTCTCAATGAAAGCGACACCACGTGCCGGAGCTATTCCCTCTCCCGACCCCAGAACCTGACCAGTGGTCTGTCCTTCAAGTCACGGGTAGTGACCAAAACTCGGGGTCTAATCACAAAGAGTGCAGCGGCGCCCTTCGAGGAAACAATGCTGCCCGAAAAAAGGAACGATGTGGTGCGTTTTACAATCAGATTATGTTTTCCTTCCAAATCTATAACTCTAAATATTTTTTAGGTTCAACAATTTAAATATTCCCTCCCGGATTTGGGAGTTCAACTGAGCATCAGCACCAATCTCAATGAACTGATGAAGTATCGGGGAATGCTCCTCAAGTCGGAGTTCACAGAAAAGTAATCGAAAATGGAGCACTTTTAAATGTCCCTCTAACTTCCTTTTTCTTTGAAATTCTAGTGGCTTCTCTGGCAACATGGTCGTCAGTGTCCTGATGTACATTTTTGGCTTCACCCAGCTCAGTTCCATTCACCTCGGCCACGACAGGAACTTCACCATGCTGATGTACAACGAAAAGGCCACCAGAGTAAGATTTAATTTTTGAAACAAAACTTACTTTATAGACGTATCCTTTCAGATAGAGGGAAACTTTTGTGCCGAGGATGTGCTGGAAACCGCCGATCTGAAGGGCAAGCAGATAAGCCTCACCCTCGAGCACACGGATGAAACTTCCCGCTCCGACATCCTGCACAGATGGAACATCACCCTCGATGTACAGGCGTCGCCCAAATCGCACTGGTTCAAGGTAATTGGCCAGATACAGCGCAACTCCAAGGACGATGAGGAGGACTGGAAGGTGAGTGTTATATCTTTAATGCGACTACGGGACAAATTTATTTAACCAAAGATGGGTTGCTCCTGTCTTGTGTCTATGTGGGTCTCTGAATCATTGGGGTGTGTTTTTGTGTTCTGTGTTTCGAGGATTTGTTATTGGATTAGCCCTCCTGTCCGGCTATCTCGAGCTCCTCCTCGGCATTGATCAAAGCCACAACGCCGTCCTGAAGGGTCTTCACCAACTCAAACTCTGTGAAGCCCAGGCGGCGTTTGTTCGATATATCCATAATGCCGTCCTCGATCTGGGCTGTTTCGCTCTCAGTACCGCGTATATGCAACTGAAGCTCCTCGGCCAAAGCGAACAAACGGTCCGGGTCCTTGCTTAGCAAGGGCAAACGAATATGGACCGAGGCGCGAAGGGTGGTGCCCAAGTTAGTGGGGCACGCGGTAAGGTTGCCGTAACGCGGATGACGCGCAAAGGTCAATGTCTTCTCAAGCTCGGCCAGTCCGTTCACCAGGCGATTGTAGACATCGCCGAGGTCACCGCACAGTGCCATCGACATGATGCGCACGTGGTCCGAGCGGTTCACCCAGATGAAGAACGTCTCGGCGGGATTGTGGTATACACCACGTCCAGTCGGCCAGAAGCGGAAGCAACCGGCGGTGGTCATCTGCTCGTCGCCGCGCTGGAAGAGTATGTGGCGCTTAACCATCTCCGCCTGGGTCTCAGCATCGATATCCGCCATGGTCAGGTACGAACCAATCAGCTCTCCATCCATTGTCTCGGTGGCCGCACGCACCTTCTCCTCCACCTCGATGAACTGCTTCTCGGTGAGTTTCGGGAAGAAGGGCAGACCTTCGATGTTCCTGGCCAGACGGATGCGAGCCGACATAATGTACTTGCGCTCCGGATCAAGGTTCTCAATCTCATCCACGTTGCCGAAGTCGGCATCCTTCTGGAGCACGTCGTTCTCGTTGTCCATCTGGTTATGGTAGTCCTTGATAATCGGATCGAAGACCTTGTTGAAGACATCGTAGCTGTCGGCATCGGCCGCAAAAATTCCCACGGGTGCTTCGTGGTGCTCGAATCCAGACACGGCACAATCATATAGATAGGCGTCCACAGGCGCCGGTGTGGTGACGAGCATGTACTCCTCCAAGAGCTCTGGCGAGAGGTACTTGCGGAGCAGGGAACTGATGTTCTCCTCATCATCCATGAGCGATTTGTAGCCGGCAATGGTGAGCTCCTGGTACTCCTCCGGCGACTTTTTGCTATTGGATTGGAAAATATGAAATAGGATTCACTAGGAATCTCTCTTTGAACTCACATTTGGCCGCGCAGACGCTCGAGTTCCTGCTCCAGCTTTGAGATGTGTGTCTTGGCCTCCTCCAGATCGTTCTTCATGATGTCATACTGAGCATCATCCGGACAGCTCTCGCACATGAATTTGCGGACGAAACGGATGGCATCCTCCGGCTTGTTCTGCTCCTCGTACAACTTGATCAAAGCCTTGCTGAGAGCATCAATAACCCCTGCCCGTTCCAGATACTTGCGGTATTGCACGCGTTTCGATTCAATCTATTCAGGTGGAAGGAATTCACGTTGTATTCGGGAATACCTCAACCGTTAGTAGGATTGGCATTCCTCCACTTACCGAAGTCATTTTGAAGTAGGTTGGAGCAAAAGTCAAGTAAACATAAATTTATAAAACACAACGCAAAGTTAAAGGTTTTCGATGGCAGATCCGAAAATAGACTTTCGACAGCACTTGGGCTTTTGTACAGATTTTTAGCACGTCCTTAAAAAATAAATTGAAATTGAAATTTTTTCCCAAAAAATTTTACGACGGGAGAAATGCGTCCGAACAGTAGCTTAACTGGCTGCCTTCTATCCCTTAGCTCGTATCCCGTATTGATCAAACGCCACGACGTACGACTCCAGGCCTGCCTGCCTGCCTGCCTCTACCCGCCTACTAGATACCGACACTCGACTCTACTCTACTTGACTCGGTTCTGTTCGTTCTGTTCTCTGCTCCCCGATGCCGGGCAAGGACGAGGGCAAGGAGAGGCGCCCACATAAGTGGGCCACCAATTGTGGCTGTACGGCCAGTGGTTGGGCTTTTGTGCCTTGTGTAACAAAGTGCCACGCAGCAGGAGGAGGAGGAGGAGACTAGGCCAGTGTGCAGCCAGGATGTATGTACGCTCGCTAATCGTTGTCGCCGTTGTTGTGGTCCCGTTGTCTACCGTTTCGTCATGGTAATGTGAACCCGACCGTACATCCCGGTGGCGGGGGGAGTGTCCCTGTTGTTTGGTTTCTACGTTTCTGTCCATCAGTGTATCCACACATACCTTACAGGGTGTCACGTCCGCCCCGCCGCCTAATGAAGGCACTCGACTAGTGTCAAGAGCCGATTGTTGACTTACTAGGTACATGGTACATGGTTTGTTGGTTACTCCAAAGGAATCCTCTGTTTTAAGTTCATTTTCTTAAAGTTGTTTAAGTAAGTAAAGTTTTTTAAAAATCAATAAAATGTTTTTTAATCCACAGGCCTGCAGCAAGTTGACCTATGAACCCCTCGTCTTCACCAAACGACCTCACACTTTATACGGCAATGTGGTATTCGGCCTGGCCACCGAGGAGGGTGAATGCCCAGAGAATGGCTCCTCGGTGCAGTTTGCCGCCCGAGCTGGGGTATGTTGTTAGATGATGGGCTTTAACCACGTTAAGAAATTAATACCAATAGTACTTTATACTTTCAGCCATCGGAGCATGCCCGCGCCTTCCTGCGTTCCAATAAGATCTCGTTGACGGATACAGAGTTCTGCCCCAAGGAGGTCCTCAAGTTCTCGCCCATTCCCACATCCAAGTATTGCAAACGCAGCAACTTTGAGAACTTTACCTCGATCACCCAATACGACATGGACCTCAAGTTTAATAAGGCAAGTGAACTATCAAAAAATATTTTAATAATATAAAAAAATAAAAATATATATTTTAGATGCCCGCCTGGTTTGAGCTGTGGTCCAACCGCCTGGATCACGTGGTGTCTGCCCTATCTTCCCACAAGGTGGATAGCCTCCACATGAGCCAAGAGATCAACATCTCCATGCACACACCTCACGACTATTTCCGGCTGGCGGTGGAGGTCAATGGAGTGAAGTGGCGCTTCCATCAGATACCCTTCCTCTTCAAACTGGACTCCAAGTTCGACGCCTCTCACGAGCTCACCTACGACTCGGGACTAAAGCGCTCCTGCTCGGTAATCAATGGCATAGTCAATAGTTTCGACGACTACCTCATTAATCTGGAGGAGATCGCGGTGCGGGCCGATTGTTTGACTCTTCTTGTGGCCGATTGCTCTCCGGTGCCCCAGATGGCCGCATTTTTAACGCCATCGAAGACACCCGAGAATGTCACGAATTACGGATTACGCGTCCATATCGGCCAAAACTATTTCAGCCTGCATCCGCGCAATAGTACAGTCCACACCGATAAGGCACCCTTGGATGAGCCGGTCTTCATCTATCTCAACCAGAACCAGACGGCACACAATGTGCGCCAGAAGCCCTACCAATGGCCATTGGAATCCAGTGACTACGATTTTCGGTTAGTTTTCACAACAAAATACTTGTATTATTTAAAACTAACTCTTTACTACAATTTTCTTTCAGTGTGGAGCTCAATGAACAAAACATCCTGATCGTCGAGTGCTCGCTGATAAGTGCCACCATCCAGTTCGATTTGTACAATATCCTTAACTTCGAGATCTATGCCTGGCACAAGCACCAGCTGTGTGGACTGTGCAGCAAGCCCCTCAACCGTATGCAGAACTATACGATCTGCGAACTGGAGGAGACGGGCACCACGACTCCCCTTCCCGTGCACGTTCCTCTCCAGAACTCCTCCGATGTAATTGTAGTTGCATAAGCATAATGTGTTAAAGCTTATCCTAAAATAAAGAGAAATTAAGCCCAACCGGGAAGATCATTCAAATCCCAGGACTTGGAACAATATTTAACTTTATTAATAATGGTTTCTTGAAACAGAAAATTAAATATATTTCACTTCTTCAAGAAGTATTAGGATAAACAAAAAAAATCAAATTTCTAGTCTCATACTAGTTCAACTCTTTTTTCTTGAGTATTGAAAATTGGTTCCAAAAATAAGAATATTTGGTAATGTTCAAAGTAAGGCAATAGCTAATGAAACATTTAGCTTACTGTCAAGAAGCTAAGGCACAAAGATGAGTCATAAGATCAAAAGAAAAATATTAATATAATAACTTGGCAATAAACTAAGAACGTCAGTTATTATAATTATGATAAAACTATTTTCTACTCCTGTTTGAAACCAATTTGCTTTTCGCGATCGCGATGTAATTGGGTCAGTAGGTGTAGACGTAGTTGGGGAGTCGTTTCCAGAGTCATATTACATAGCTTGCAGTTTAGGACATCCATAGCTCCTTCGCTGTAACATTAAGAGCAGTTTAATATTTAATAATCAAATATGGACTTCGAACACTTACAAATTCCGACATTTGTACAATTTCTTGCAATTTTCAATAAGAAAGAGGCGAGTACCGATATCCTCCTCCATTAGCTCTGGAATAACGTGCATGGGGAAGATGGAGCGCTTGCCGAACGGTTCGGGTTGAGGCTCAATCCTTTCCACTTTCTCCCAAGTAAAATCAGAGTTGCTTGCATTAAGCTCAATGTAGCTACGATCCTTACTCAGCAAACTGTATATATTTTTATTAAAAAAGTGACTACTAATCAATTTTGATTCTATTTCCACGAACTTACCGATTCAGCAAGGTCCTCAATTGCTTAAATACGCCAACACGGTCGTTCATATTCAGGGATGGTAGGTCCTCTCCTTCGAAGTTAAAGAACATGGTGTCAATGCTGTAGCGCATTTGATTAATCTATAAAGAATATAGCTTATAAATAATTTTATTTCAAGGACTTCTTTATAGGAAAACATACCATGCGGACATCATCCTCATACAAATTTACGTCCAAATTTATAACCATATCGTGCTCCTCGAAATAGGGCTGCATGGTTTCCTTATCGAATCCAAGACCAGCCAGAATGGAAACGTACTTGGTGCACTCTTTGTTGCACTTTATCTGCATGGTTGGGCAGAAAAGCATAGCCATCAAAGGGGCAAATCCGTGAATATTGGGCATCAGGGTAGTTCCCCTAGCCGTTAGCTCGTCTCCATTGCAACTCTCCACCGTGGAGTGTGACACTATCAATTGATCGTGATTATCCTGTGGATCGGAATCCAAAAGAATGGCATTGACCGAACATTTGTCTATTTTGACGGATTTCCAAAGCCCCACACGAATGGTAGAGAACATCGAAGTTTCTAGCGGACTAAATGGTCCCTTAAGCGTAACGATCATGTTGCACTTTTCCAGTGGAGGAGGCGTTAAATCGAGATCCTCTGGCATTTGGCAAGAGCGCAAATACTCCTCATTAACCTGCTGCCTCCCACGGCTGGATATGTAGCGCGCGGTTTCCTGTTTGCGATTACGGAAGTCATGATCCTGGCGAGACATAAAATTCTCGTCGGCACGGCGAGCCAGGTTGTGCTCCACCAATTTTTCGTTGAGTAATCCTTCAGGTATGTGAACGAGGACAGCGGCTATATTGTGAACCAACGAGTATATCTCTAGCTCAACGGTATTGTGCTTGCTGGCAGCTCGAAGCATATCGTTGGCGGCCTTGGACCATCGACTAAGAAGACTACTCATCGTCGATGGCTGCACCAACGCCAGTCGGCACTCGAAGACACGCGGCGGCAAATCGCCATACTGGCTTAGAAGTTCTGCCGGCATCAAACGCAATTGATCTAAGCGCAGAAGACAAGTGTCTCCATAGTCAACAAAACGCACAAAGAACTTTGGCTGACGGTTTCTTTGGGATTCCGGCCGAACAATTGTGGCACGCTCAAAGGTATCTGCATTCCGCTTGGCTAATACCATCATGCCCTTGGTCAAGACACCGGCATTCTGAATTTCGTATTCCAAGTGCATCGGCGTGTTAATAATCTCAGACATATTGCGAATGCACTTGGCAAATGATTGCGGTTGAAAGAAGAACTTGCCGCAGTGATTGATCTGAATAATTGGAAAGATAAATAAATATTGAAACACTTCATATATTTACTTCAAACTGTCTTACATGGGTAATCCATCCAGTCAGCTTCTTAGCATAAACGGACGGCAGAGCCACCATCTCCACGTTCAAGGAGCGCGACGGTGGAATCCAGTGGCCCTCTTTAACAGTGCCAATCCCATTTTTCTGCACATACATCAACGCGTTGTTTCGACTAGAATTGAAGATCATTTCTATAGCATATATATGATTAAGGTATATATAACTCACTCCATCATGCGCACTGTGCGACTCGATTGGTACAATCTCATCCTGATGGACTTGTAGACATCGGTTAGCACTAGGCCTGGCACATTAATCAGTCGAGTGCAGTTGGCGTCACACTCGTCGCTCTTGAATGTGATGAAGATCTTCTGCGATCCAGGCTGAAAAGTAACTTCAATACTCTCGGGAGGGATCTTTAATTCCTGGAACATATCCTTGATGCGGCGAGTGTACAGTTCCCCCATGTATCCGGGTTTAAAGTTTGTAAAGTAGACTGTACGACACGGATCACGACCAGAGATAACATGGAAGACATCACGTTCTTGGTCCAAGCAGGACTTTTTCGATCGCAGAAAATAGTTTGGATAAAAGGCTCCGGCTATACCAACTTTTAGAAGAAGTGCCTTTTCCAGATCGTCCGGCATTTCACTTGAGCTAAGATTAAACGGAGTCATGCCGAGTTGGGTGCACCGCGACTTCAATTCATTCACCAGCAGGCGCATTTCTTTCAGTGCACGCAAGGAGACATGGTATCGTCTTGCCCACGGCTCCGCTGACTCTTGATGCATACCATGCGCTACCATGTTCTCATACGTCTATCCAAAAAGAATAGTTAGAAAAAATTAAAGAAAATGATCAAGACACTTACTCGATAAATTCGCCAAATGGCAACTAAGTCAGAACCAGATCCATCAGCAAAAATGTAGTTCATCCAAAAGGCATCGGATGTAAGACGGCCTCGCCCTGCTTCACTGCTCACACCTCGCATGGACAATCCAGCAGCTATAAAATAAATTAAGAAGGAATTATATTTCAAATAAACTATAGGAGTATATCAATAGTCACCTATAATAATGGCTTCTTCTAGGAAATTAAAAACGTAACCCAAAATAATAAGGCGAGCTAGACGAGTATCCAATGGTAAGCGCGACATAATAGTGCCCCAGTAGGTAAGGTCACCATCCATTTCGTTGTACACACCATCCACGGTGGGGAAAAGGGCACCCACTTCTTTAAGCAACAGAACGGTATTTTGAATGTCCGTCAAATTCGGCGGGGATATAGCCAAAGCTAACAGCTCCATGGGAGTACCCATGTCCAACATCTTGGCCTTAAGCACAGAGTTTTGTAAGGGCAGGCGCAACATTTCCGGCACTCCAAACTCCTGCATATGAATCTTATAAAAGTTCTTGTGTACCAAGCGGTAAACGCGTCCACTTCGCAGACGTCCCACGCGGCCAGCGCGTTGGCGACAGTTAGCTTTCGAGGCCCAAGTCATCCGGAGCGAGCTGAAATTAGTGGCCGTATCGGTGACCATCACCTTGGTAAGACAGAAGTCAATGATGTAAGATACATCTGGCACTGTAATGGAGCTCTCTGCAATATTGGTAGCCAAGATGACCTTGCGGAATCCGGGTGGTGGAGGAGCGAACACATCGCGTTGTGCATCCGGAGTCATCAGAGAGAAACATCGCAAAACGAACAATTTCATACTGGGTCTGATATAAAAGGGAATATTAAAAAAAATGTTATTTTAAACACAATATTATCCTTACTCTTCCGTAGTCATTTTGCCAAGACATTCGGCCATGTTGTCGATTTCATAAATACCAGGCAGGAAAATAAGCACTGCACCCTGCTTCTTGGCATCGGCGTAACTTAGCTGCGATTGAACTTCCGCCTGACGCTCCATGTTGTCAATGACAAGGACTATCTTTACCGCCGCCTTGTAAGCCTCGTCAGGAATTTGCGGGATGTATTCCGATTCCGGATCGTCTTTCCAATTAATATTGCCCAGCTGGTCGCGATAGAATTTCTCAATGGAGTACTTTCGACCATGGCTGGCGGTGATTACAGGAGGTATTGACACCTTCGTGGAAAAGTAGTCACAGAACTCGCGAGCATCAATGGTGGCCGACATTAGGATGACCTTTACATGACGAGAATTGGTGGCCAGAAGCCGGCGTACCACAATCAGTAGGAAGTCCATTTCCTGATCACGCTCGTGAACCTCGTCCAACACAATATGCGTGTAATGAGTGAGGGTCTTGTTGCGAATGAGGAGGTTCAGCAACACACCGGTGGTACAATATAGTAAACGACAGTCCTCCGTATTTGGTTTACGATGCAGACCAACCTGGTAGGTGCACACAGTGTTTGGCTCCCACATTCGCTCCTGGGAAACTCGATCGGCAATGGAAATGGCACCAATGCGACGAGGCTGGGTCACAACAATGTTGCAATATTGGCCAGTTTTAAAGCCCTCGTCTAAAATATATTGAGGCACCTAGAAAAAGAATATGTATATGAGTATGAATGAAAAAAAAAACTAAAAACATATATAAAGTTAAGGGAAAATAATAAAGTTAATATAAATTTATTTTTAATGCCCATTTTTGTTAATAATTTTAAAACAAATATAGCTATTATTTTGAACAGTGTAAATCTAACGTATTTTAAAAGTCTATTTCCGTTTTCCAACACCGAAGATTTATCGGTTATCGATAACATCAGCCGGTCTTTTGGATTGTTTACAATTTGCTGGAAGACAGAAGCTCATGGAATGGAAGCTAATGTTTACGACGATTGCTGGGAGCTCGTGCAGCGTTTCCAGCGGCTGGTGAACGATGGTGAGAGCTGCGAGTTCGAAGTGTTCTGCCGTTGCTGGCGGGAATTAAATATGCAGCATCTGTACACTGGACAGTCAAACAATATAGAGATTGTGGCTACCACCCTGGCGGCTCTGCACGTAGCCAAGCAGTTGGCTTGTTCCCGACGGACCACCGGTGAATTATTCAAAGCTACTCGCCACCTGAGGATAGCCGGGTTCTATCTGCTGTATGTGATATATAATAAACAGCCCACGCACCAGTTCGTGAAGATCGATGTTGCACGAAGGACGTGGCAGGAACTAACCGATTATGTCCTGCAGTTGCGCCAGGAAAGCCCCGAGAAACTAGACACTCAGCAGGTGGCCTTCATGTTTTGGCGTTTGGTCAATGAGCAGGCATTCAGATTCACAGCGGTGGACTATTGCCTGGGATTGGATGATCTGGTGGATTATAACCGACTTGAACCAAAAATGGGTGCCAAGCAGCAGAAAAAGGATAATATGCTCCTGAAGCAGCAGCGGCCCAACAGCGTAAGTCTCATCTACGAGCTGGATGGCTTCCGGACACTCCGCCTGGCCAGTGAACCACTGTGTGAATTGGAGGCAGCCTATAATGAGAGGAAGGAACGTCTGACGGGCCAAGAACTAGCCCTGCCACCTACGAAAATCTTTGGCCAGTTGCGCGAAGTCTTTGGGGATATACAGAGGCTTTTGGGAGAAGAAGAGGACAAGGAACAGATAGCCCAAGACGAGAAGCCCATGAGCTCAAAGAACCAACTGGAGGTGCGCCAACAGGTTCGATACAAAGCCCTGTACGGCAGGGAAAAGAACGAAGGAGCCCGAGAAGATGACGGAGAGGTGGAGTTGGAAGTTCAAGAAGCTTATCAACGACGCATGTCATCAGCCACAGTTTTCCAGCAACCACTGCCGGAGGAAGTGGAACGGGAGTATATGATCAATGGCTGGACTGAAGACTGCGAAGAAAATCAAGAAGAAGAGGACTCAAGCAATGCCGAAAGCCATGACAAGAATGAAGCGGAGAAGCTTCTACGTATTTTGGAAGCAGAAGACTTTATTATTGAGTCAGAAAGCGACAATTAAATTTTAATTTTCTTGCTTTTTTATATTTCTAAAATAAATAAATACTTTATCATTCAAATAACTTATTTTACAAGTTTTTGGGGGCTTTGTTTATAAAAGATGTAGTTTTATACAACTAAAAGATGCTGTTATATTTTAAACCTTAGTATTTAATCATATTAAAAAGACTGTAAAAAGCACGTGTTCTAGATTGGCACGTGACCAGACACTTGAACAAAATGGCCGCCGAGGAACAGGGAAACCCCAAGTTAAGATGATAATATAATTATATGCCTCACCTGCGTAGTCTTTCCGCAACCCGTCTCGCCCTTTAGAATAACAACTGGATTTGTATTTATGGCGTTCATAATCTCCTCGCGTTTGGCATAAATGGGCAAGTTCTTGTCGCGGTTTAAGTTGAATCTGTATTTTTTGTAATATTCTTCATCGAGGCGTACTTTGAATGTCTCCTCGTCATCCATTTCGTCATAGGAGTCTACGTCATCCATTGTGCTATTGTATTGGCCGGGAATCTCGTCGGCCTTCAATTGCTATCAGAAAGGAGTCAGATGTCAAGAATGAACCGAAAAAAAATGCTGACTCTGCTTCTTACCCCACACATGAGAAGCTTTTCTTTGGCAACGATTTCCGACACATAATCTGTGCCGATCACTTCACGTTTTATTGGTTTGGAATTGAACGTTTCGGTGGTCGTAGAGTGTGGATCACTTGCCATAAAGCCAGATGGTGCTTCCTGGCGTTTAAAATCCTTGGTGAAGTCAAAGAAGTCCATTATTTCGGCATCCATGTTGAAGGCCGCACGCTGTCAATCAGCCGTTTCCTTCAAAAACTAATGGAAACACGATTCTATAAATATTTATAATACAAGTATGTATATACGTCTTGTTAAACACAAATGTATAAATAAATATTTGGAAGCGCACGAATCGAAACTCTCTTGCCTTCTGCCCGCGTCTAAAGTTGAACGGTAAAAATTCGAGTCTAGACTCTAGGGATGAAACATGAGATAAAAATTCTCATCGATTTCTGTTATCGCTGTAAAGCTAACTGACAAAATCGATTTTATTTTAAATTGGGGAACTACAAGAATATGCATGCATAATTACGCATGAATTAGAAAATTGGGAAGAAACATTTTCTATGTATCGACTCATAATGAACACTTAATGTCCGTATTACATTATTTTTTGACAAAAATTATTTTCATGTTAAAAATAAACTTTGTTGAAATTAATATTTTATTAGGTTAATACCTATTTAACTTACTAACTTTGTTTATTTTTACCCTATTGACTTTTAAAACTCGCCATAACAATTTTTTATTCATAAAAATAATTTATCGATAGCTCCTTTCACTCTCTTCATTTCAGATAAGTTGGCAGTCACTGTTTCGATAACCGTTCGAGGAAATTCAATAGCAAAACAATATTTTTGGCAGTTTTTAGACTAATTGGGCCGCAAACATGTCGCTAACTATGCGAATTTTCACCGCATCGCGCAATGGTTAGTGGCGAATGGAAAGCTTTGATCTCACTCACTTCCAAGCGCCGGAAAACCGTAAAATCCGGGGGAAAATAGCGCCGAGTGAGGTTATATAAGCTTATGTCATAGAAAAACAAAGGACAAAATTGAATAAATAATTGATTTTAACCAGTGATTTAACTATGGATTGGTTCCTCCGCAGGTCAGCGCATGTTTGGCACCCATGGCGCCAGGTTGCTGGCCGCCCAAAAAGCCGAACCGAAAGATATTGTGCCAGTACCCCAGGGCTACGTCTACGTAAACAACAAGGAGCTGAGCATGGAGTTTGCGGATATTACTGATCGGGCCGCCACTACCATGTTCTTCGGAGAGCTCTTCCGCGGTTTCGCAGTCACCCTGGCACATATCTTCAAGGAGCCGGCCACCATCAACTATCCCTTCGAGAAGGGACCGCTCAGTCCACGTTTCCGTGGCGAGCACGCTCTGCGGCGCTATCCCAGTGGCGAGGAGCGTTGCATCGCTTGCAAGCTGTGTGAGGCCATCTGCCCAGCCCAGGCCATTACCATTGAGGCAGAGGAGCGCGCTGACGGAAGCAGGCGAACAACCCGCTACGATATCGACATGACCAAGTGTATCTACTGCGGCTTCTGTCAGGTGGGAAACATTTCTTTTAACATAAAATTTAAAATTGCAAGAATCAATATCTAAAAATTGGTATCTTCCATTTATACAGGAGGCATGCCCCGTTGACGCCATCGTGGAAGGACCTAACTTTGAATTCTCCACAGAGACGCACGAGGAGTTGCTTTACAACAAGGAGAAGCTTCTCTGCAATGGCGACAAGTGGGAGTCCGAAATCGCCTCTAACCTGCAGGCCGATCATCTCTATCGTTAATTATGAATGTAAATTTTAGATTTCCTTGTTTAGAACGATTTTCCAATTAAAGATCGTTGCCGTGGCTGCGTCTTAAATATTTTGTTGCTTCTTAAAGGATTGATTCTCAAATGCAGTCCAATAGATTGACTTTTATTAAAGATGTAGAAGATTTTATTAGAATTTAAATAATTTATGTATAACTTTAAACAGCTAAATGCTTTTATGGTGAAACTTTGATATCGTAACTTATAACCTGGCTAATCAGGACACGAAGCAATGTAGCTTCACCAAATTTTTAGATTATGGAAGCTGACAATAGTTGCCTTGGCAAACATAAAAAAGAAGTCCTAGCAGATTCTATGGGAAGTTACTTATTGACCTGGGCCGGCCAGGCTCTTCTCCATGAACTTCTTCTTGGCGAAGCAAGTCCACCACTTATTAGGCTTGCCATCTTCGGTGCCGAAAACCTTTTCCACCACCCGGTTGCCGGTTTCATGGCGTATTTGCAACAGGTACTGACGCATTAGGTCCGCATCCTGGGCTGATTGGGGTTTAGCATAAACAGCATTTAAAGGAAATCCTGCATCGCCGGGAATGTCGAACTTGGAGATGGCTAAGCTATACATCTCCTGTTGTCCTTGAGCCTTGCTAGTGCATCGATTGAGCCTTTTCAGACACTCGGTTATGTAGAGGGTAACATAGATTAGAACTCGATCCACCTCGGACTGAATTAAGATGGGGATTATTTGGCATTTAAATGGAATCATGATTAAAAGCTCACCTTTATTTCATATGTACGGAAAAAAACATTGGCTTTGAAGAAGTAAAGTGACTCATCAATGATGTCGCTTTCTGTGTTTGCCGTGGGCGCTGGTCCTCGCACCTGGGTCCTCAACGGCAAGATTGCCATGTTGCCCACCTGTTGGCGAAATTCCTTGATCTGGGAGTGGTAGGCCTGTGAAAATATTTGATGTTATTTTTATTTTTCAACAAAACTCCAACCTTAGCAGGGGGTCTCAAAGTAATAAAAAAGCATAGATGCACTATGGCTTTTGATTACTTTAAAGGTTTATTGGTTAGGTGGGTTTTAAATAAGTTATATTAGTTACCGGCATGATAAAATAGTAAATACTATTATTTAAAGAAGTAATTAACAATTTTATTGTGATTTATTTAAATGTGACCAAGTTATTTTTTACATAAATTACTCCATATCGATATATCGATATTTTTTGCATAAATGGTATCTTTATATCGTAAATTTCATGGTTCGTGCCTTCAGTTCGAAAATTCGAGCTTCGCTTTTGTTTTCTTTCGCGCCACAACAGAATTTAAATGTTTAGGAAATTAAAAACTATCAATGTCAAAGTTTGTAATTATAAGAATTTTTCTTTGGCATTAATAAAATGATAAATTTTATGTTAAAAATTGTATTTTACACAAAGTCACCGTTCAGATAAACAAAAAAAAATAGTTATAATCAACTGTTTGACATCTCATTTGTTGGCTAAAAAACTTAAAAATTAAATTTTAGATGTGCGCGCTCCTTGAAGAGTATTTGCTTTGGGTCCCCTTCGCTCTCTATGGATCACAGTAAACATTTCTTGCATAACGTGGCCCCATTTTCTGGTCAATTGAATTTAAGTCAACTAGAAATATCGGCGATGGCCTACAAGAGACTGTGTTTGGAACTGGATACCATTGCCAATGCACCGGGGCCAGTGGCTCCCGCTTCTCCCCCGGCACCTGTGGCCAGACAAGGGTTGAGGGCAAGTGCTTCGGAGTTCGTTCCACAGGTGCCAAATATTGGAGACAGAAGGGCGGTCGATTTAGGGGAAGAACAGGACGATTACTCTGACGAGATCGACGATGGATACAATGCTGAGCGAAATATGAGGGCTGTAAGTATTCGTAAATCTTGTAAGGCATGTAAGGCAATCTCTTAAGAATCGGACAAATATTCCGATCCCTTCAAAAATTTCACAGAAATTCTAAGAAGTAGTATTTTTTCTGTATTTTAATGTAAATTGATAGAGAATCGATCTACAAATCGTTTAAGGTACTCCAATCAGGAATCGGATAAAAATTGGCAAAGATATGGCCTTTGGTGGGGCTCATATTGTTCCTCCATGCATTTATCAGAATTTTATAGGGGATACCCCATTTTGAATCGTCGTTCTCATATATATTTTTCTTTAATTTATTCCTTTAACCAGCCAAGACCCGGAATTTACGGGTTGCGTTTTTATAACCTTCCTTATGAATCAGAGGATGCGGGTGACAACCATTCCGAGGCAGAGAGAAAGAGAAAGTTCGGCTACAGGGCTCCCAGGTTCCGTCCGAATCAACCGGCTGGCCGACCCATGAAGACGGATACGGCCGGAATGCAGGCGACATTGCCATCAAAAGATTCGGTAAGCGGAGCGCCGCATTTCAGAGGACCGTATATGCCGCTGCTCCAACACCGGATCGCCAATGCCGAGGCGTATGGGCTTATCCGGGAACCGGACGAGGGACCCAGTCTACTTCTGGAGGACATGCTCAAGCAGTTATCGCGCCTTGAAAAATGTCCCCAAACCTTTAATTCCATTTTTCAGGGGAGAAACCGACAGAATTCCTCATCCTAAGAGCAATAATCGATTCATCCCAATTTGTGTTTCCATATCTAGACAATTGTAATCGAGTTACTTGATAAAAGCAGGCGCTGACTTAAAAGTTTGTCTTACTTTTCATTACTTATTACAATTATATTGATTCTGAAAGTAGTACTGAAGCAAAAATATGGGTAAGAGGTTCAAATCGAAATCGCTGCAAAACCAGAAGAAGGAGGTTCTAGTAAGTTTGTTAGTTAAACATTTACAATTGAATTTCTAAAATTTAAGTGTCTTAAAGACTGTAATCAAGGAAGAACCCGAAAAATGTGGTGATGTTAATGAATCCAAGCCAGTAGAGGAGCAAGCCATACTAAAAGCTGTGTCCTCCGACGACTCGGAAGACTCCAAAAAGCACCTCGAGCAAATGGAATCGATTAAAAATATGCCGCTTCGCCTGGATGGGCAAATCGAGACCTTCAAGTCTGTCCAGGAGGAGCTGCGGGAGTTGCAAAAACGGCAGGTGACCCTGCTGGATGAGTGCATTGAAACCCTTCAGGAGTTGAATAGTGCCAAGCCGCTTAATGTTACGGAACACAAGCTCATCCTGAACACGTTCATCATCGTAAAGGATAAAATTTCGAAAATATTTGAGAATTGTTCTCCATCTCAGTTGGACGTTCTGAAGCAACAGAACTTGATTCTTAATGCATCTCAAGAGATTGAGGAAAAATAAGCAATTGTGGTTGTAGACAAAATGGTCAAATAGATGAAATAATGTAATCATTCATAAAAATATTTAAATATATTAAAAATATTTAAGTATGTACCATAATTTTATTTCGTTTTTAGCATCCTTTTTTTTTTTTTTGGTTTCTTTTAATACATTATTTCACAGCATTTAAGAAACCTAGCAATTGTATAGGGGTAATAAAAACAAACCAATTTTGGTCGCGATCTATAAGATATAAGATATACCGGATCCGGCAACGCTGCGACGAAAATATATCGCCCAAATTCATCGAATGAGTTCCATCACTATTGAGGAGCGCGTAAATTTGTAAACATTCCAGGTCTAAAATGAATCCCCCACCGGCTCGAGGGCGGGCTCCTTCTCGTTTCGTGCGTGGGCGGGCCCGCGGAGGTGGTGCCTACCGTCCGTACTTTTATTTCCGGCGAAATGGGCGTGTCATACCTGCCCGTGGCAACCGGCAACCAAATCGGGAGGCCGCCACAGGTGAGGGAGGCACCAATGCGGATCCTCCGGCAACCCGTCAACCCAGGGGTTGGGGTCGGTCATCCAACAAACGCGGTCGTGGCGCACCCATGGACTGCAGCTTTTTGCGTCCAGAGAACTACGCTGCCCCCGAGGACGGGCTACTGGTTCAAAGTATCGCTGTGGATAATCCTCGTGCATATTCCGGATGGAGGTTGTACTTCTTGAGAGACACCTACACAGAGGACAGTGATCTGGCGAAAAGGATCATGGCCGTGGAAGCTCATTACCAAAGAAATCCGCACAACTACGACTTTGTGAAGACCCGTGATCGAGGATTCTTCAGTTTAACGGCTTCACAGATCCTACAGGATGCGCAGCTAAAGGAAGTGTGGCCCGGGCTAGAGGAGGACATCAAGGAACACCCCCTGCGAACACTTTCGACTCTTTCTCTGGCCATGCACACTGTGGTTGTGAACCATTTTCTGGACGCCTCGGATACTGCCATGGGCGCCGTTTCCACGCCAGAGCAGTACGTGCCACCAACCCAGCGACTGCGCAAAATCTATGCAAGGCCATTAGGCTTTATACCCGTTAATTCGCTGAGCAGCATCGGCCACGACCGCGTGGATACTCTATTCGCTATCCACGGGACCGTGGCCAGCATTGGAGAACCAACCTATAACCTTGCGTGGCAGGCTTTCCGCTGCAGTCGCTGCCAAATGGAGATGGCAATGCGTCAGCGTGGAACCTTTCAGCCACGTCCCTACCACTGCAAGAGATCCGAGTGTGTGGCTCGCGATGGATTCCTGGTACTAAGAAGCTCCCCGTATACACGACTTTCTGCCAGGCAGATGATCCGACTGGAGGAGTCTACCCTGTCTTTGAACGACTTTGAAAACACACCGCCGGAGGAAATAGATATTGAATTACGCCACGACCTGGTGGACTCTGTACGAGTTGGCCAGGTGGTGATCATCACGGGAGTGCTGAAGCTGCAGGAACTGGGAGAGGATGATGCCAGCAACGACCAAAAGCAGGCCTATCTCAAAGCAGTCAGTATTGAGGATGCGGAAAAAAAGAAAACGGAGTTCAGCGATCGGGATCTGGAAGCAATTGCCATGATCAACTCGGAGCCAAACAGCTTCAAGCTCCTGGTCCAGTCGATAGCTCCCGAAGTCTATGGACATGAGCTGGCCAAAGCTGCCTGCCTGCTTTCGCTCTTGGGAGGCGACTCCCCCATCCATGTGCTGCTGGTGGGCGATCCTGGCATTGGAAAGAGCAAGATCCTGCAGAGCTGCGCCCAGATCATGGAACGTGGTGCACACGTTAGCGGAAAAAAAGGGGCTCACTCGGCTCAGCATTTGGGCGTGACCTTTTCGGGACGAAATAAAAAGGTCCTGCAGGCAGGTGCATTGATGACCGCCGGCGCAGGAGGTCACTGCACTCTCGATGACGTGGACAAGTTGGCCTCCAAGCAGGCCGTTCTCCTGCAGTGCCTACAATCGGGCGAGATTACCGTACAGCTTCCAGGAGCCTTTGGCTCCTTTCCGGCACGGCCCTCGATTATAGCTTCAGCCAATCCGCAGCGAGGCCAGTACGATGAAGGACGATATCTTCTCCAAAACATCAACATCACACCAGCCCTGTTGCAGGAGTTCCATCTGGTCTACATATTACTCGACAAACCCTCGGAAAGAGACAAGTCCCTGACTGAACACGTGCGGGCTCTTCATGCAGGGGCTAAGAAACGGGCCAGGATCGCAGCTCGCTATGCCCTCAAGCCCAAGATCAGCGACTCCATGTGCGAAGATACGTCTTTCCGCGCTCCTGAAGTTGGCGGAGCAGATGAAACTGTTAAGAAAGAGGATGAAAACGACACCATCATGCAGCAGGACTATGATCTGGATAAACGGTTGGAGCTCCTGCCGGAAGATGTGGACCTGGAACTAGTGCCTCCTGTGCTCATCAAGAAGTTCATTACCTACGCCCGGCAACAAGTAACTCCCAAGTTGAGCGACGACGCCATGAATGCCATCCTTCAGTACTTTCTGGAGCTGAAGGAGAGCAGTACTTCCTCTGACAACGACTCCGGCCCGATAGGAGTAAGGTGAGCTATTGGTAATGTATTTATTTTATTTAAGTTAGGACTTCTTATTAAATTAAATTAATTGTAAGTGGGCTGTAAGTTGAGACATTCAGCTATCGCATGAGCTTGAGAAACGAGGAGACGGGCAGCTCCAGGAAGATGGCCAGGAGGAAGGAGCACAGATAGGACATGGTCACCGTGAAAAAGATAAACGCGAACTGTGGGGAAAAGTATTATTTATGTCCTTTCGGTCTCTAGCATACCGACTTACCATCATGCCAGTGCCAAAGTAGATGGGTTCCCTCACAGTGGCCAGGACTATTCGGGCCACCAGGAGATGTACAATGAAGGCTCCGTAGGTAAGGCGCCCTAGAATACGGAAAATTGGCAGACAGGCGAACTTCCGAAAGATCCCTGGTGAGGTAGAATAACTATTTTAATATTTTAAGGATAAGATATAGTTTTGAATGAAACTTACATCCCACTTTGCTGGCCATGCCCACAATGAAGATGCCCAAACCAAAGCCCCAGAGATTCCGCTGCAGACCGGCATAAATGGCTCCCCAAATGGCGGACGGAGCCACATAGTAGTGCTGGAAGATGGGATGAGCGCTGAACAGCCACAGAATACCCACTGGGATGAGGGCAAACCAAAGAAGCTGGAAACTCTTCAGCTCTCGGAGCTTATATTGCTTCAGGGCCAGTTGATCGTAGACCAAGGCTGCCAAAACGCCACAGAAGTAGGAGCCAAAGTTCATCACGGATGAAGTGTAGAATTCCGTAAACTGGCGATCTCCGATAAATGAGTCCTTTTGGGTTCTGTTTTAAGAATATTAGAAAAGTTTTTAAAAAGAATTTCCATGGCACTCACTGTGGTGTTGGTATAAAGATGGGGTAGTAGTCCATGACGTAGGTGAGCACCATTGGAATAGCCACAAAAGTGGCGAGAATTCCCGCATAAAGGTGCTTGCTCCATTTGGCGAAGCGATGACCCACCATGAGCAGGATCAGACTCAGCACAAAGGAGTGCGTATCCGCCGCCAAGTACCAGCCCTGAAGCAGGCACTGCAATTAAAAAAATAGTCATCTTCCATCTGAATCACTAAGATTATACTTCGCATTACCCTCTCATCCGTGCGCACAAAGTTGTTGATGTACAGGAGATTCGTCCACCAGTTGCGGCGACAGGACAACTGCTCCCGCTCGAATATGTGCCGCCATAGAGGACCTCCGGCATTTTCAAAATACACTCCGCTCATCAGCAGGACAAAGGCGTAAGGGACTGTCAGGCGGATGTACCGGAACACATTGAACTTCAGAAAGACCAAAGCATACTGCCCAACACTCCAGTGTTCCTTCTTAGACTCCACTGTGCGGGACACCGCTAGCCAATTGATGGTCAGAAGCAGGCCACTGATCACAAAAAACGTAACTGTTATTAGAGACCCGGAGACCAGGAGGGTGCCTGCTGCGGTGTGGAGCAGACGCTCCGGGTCCTGCGGGTTGCTGATGGCGCTCTCGTAGATCACCCAGTTGGTGTGCGCGAAGATGACCATGAACATGGCAAAGAACTTGAAGCAGTCGAGGAACCGCAGCTCGCGTCCGATCTTGCCAGTGGGTTCCTGGTTCAAACGATACCAGTTCCGGGCCACCGAAAAGGTTAGCAGGACTTGTTGGGCAGTGCTCTTGGGTGGGGTCTTGTAATGATCGCGTTCCTTGAGCATCTTGTCGTGACGTCGTCGCTTCAGAAGAAGGTCCACCAGGCTGCCCAGGCAGGCCAAAACCAGAAGGGCACCCAAGATACCATAAAAGCTAAGGTTCCAGGCATCTAGAGAGGCATCAAAAAGTGATAATTTTCTAAGACAAATTCTTGGTATAACCTTAGTATACTGACCATCCTCCACATGCTGTCCCGCCTCGTTGCAATACTCCGCAACGCTCTTGGCCAAGACACCAAATCCCCGGCGCTGCAACCGCCAATTTAGACAGACATTGGTGAGTCGCTGGTGCCGTTGGCGGTTAGCGGTTTCCGCCGAGAACAAGTCCAAATACACGTTCACCTGCCAATAAAAAAAGTTGATGGGAGAGCTGGTCGTTAAAAAGCCAGATTCCGAATGCAGGCCCTTGGCCTTGAAAGAAATGCGTGTCATATTATTCGCTTTGTTTTGGTTTTTGATTGAATTGGATCGGATTTCGGATTGGATGCCACTCCACCACTCAATTCCATGTCTAATTTTGGCCAACGCCTAAGTCAATACAAGAGCTTTTGTGTAATCTGCCATCAACGATGCATTTTGATGGCGACTGCATCAATGGCTTAAACCACAGCAGTCCCATTCCCATTCCCATTCGTAGCAGCTGCCATTACCCAGCTATCCGTCGTTTAATCAGCGGATTTTCCGGCTCTAATTTATGCAATGTTTATAAATAAATGAAGATGAAGATCACGCACCGGAGGCCAGAGGCGTCATGTGAATGGGGTTTAATGGCAAGTCAGTTTAATGGAAATGTTACTGTTGTAACTTTGAAAGCCTTCATTAAGATTTAATTGCTCTTAAGGTTATTCTTATTTTACAATATCGAATACAAGAAAGATACCCCTCTACCACCGCCTCTGGCTTTTCAATTTGCGGCCTGCGAGTTGAATAAACTTTGGTGCTGTTATCACGGCTTCTGTGCCCAATGATTGTTGATTGACCATTCCGAGCGACGCCTTGGATGGGTTTTGAAATATCTGCCCATCAGCGTGTTTGATTGTTCAAATTTTAGATTGAATTAAATCGATCGTTAGCCGAAGCTGAATCGTATCGGATGAGGTGACACTTCTGTGGGGCCTTACCTTGGGGTTGTCCGTTAGGAGACCAGCTTGAAGGGCCTCCAGCTCGTCTTCATTCAGCTCGGATAGCGAGTCCTCGCACTCTCGCAGGCAGAGACCAAAGTAGAGCTGCCGGTGATCGAAGTGATGGCGATCGTACTGCGAGATCTCTGTTATAGCCCGCCAGGAGGAAGCGGACTCGTCCGGCTGGACTTCCGCCCTGACAAAGCAGTAGGTGGAGGACTGGCCATTAAACTCCTGAAGGCATCGATCGTAGTCATCCAAGTCGTACAGCGGCGGCATCTCATAGAACTGCGTCACTGCAAAAAAACCGATCGAGAAACGTCATGAGGGATCAGATGTATGAATCAGCTCATTAAGAGCAAAACTAGTTTTGGGATCCGCGAAAAGATCCTTTTTCTCTAGAACCGCAGAACACCTCGAGTTCAATGGCAGTTAACTCAAGTGAAAGGAAACTCGTTCCTTTGTCAGAACTTGAACTTGTTTTGCATTTATTGCAGTGACTAGCCGCAGCATCTTCATCTAATCTGCGTTGGGGGGAAAAAACCAAACAACCAAATGTAAATATTGTAATGCTTTTTTTTGTCAGTACTGCCCAATATAGAGCCTCAATCTCTTGTCAAGATCCAGACACTCTGGCTGAGTTAATTGTTTGTCAAAATAATGCCCCGTCACTCCAGTCTCGGAAAGATTTCGGAAGGGGAACTTTTGCGCTGCCGAGCACGCGATCGGGAGGATGAGGTGCAGACAGATGATGGGGGTAATCACAGTCCTATCCTAAATGTTCTATAGTTATATCGATTGACAAGCATAACATGCAATCTGATCAGATGTCACTTTACAATAGATTATGTGACTCCGATTTGTGGGTATGGAAAATTTCCCATTTTGTCCAGGAAATGGGTAAAACGCAAATTCAAGGTGAATTAATCATGTGCCATAATTGCTTTTCTAATGTTTGTTTTTTCGATACTCACACCATAATTAGTCAATCTTCTCTAGCAGCCTAAGAATTTATTAATGAGTAGGCATATATCTGTGGATCTTTATGATCTGTTGACTTGTTATACAACTTTGGCACGAATTCTTATTAAACAAATATTAGCACACTTATATAGTAGGATCGTAAATCATCTTTATGGGATACATTAATCCTGTTTATGGTTGCCAACTTACTGTTCAATTGAAAAGATTGCGCAGCCGATATAACCGCCGCTAAAGCCACGATTTGTAGCATCATCGTGGGATGAATCCAATCAGCTCCCCCGATCGTAATGCACTCTCTAATTGATTGAGTTTCAAAGACTCTTGGCACTTTCGTCACCCAAATTGCCGTGGGCTCACCCGAATCAAATACCACAACAACACCTGCGCACCACTAATAACAATAAGAAGCGAAATTTCATCAACCGACACACGATATAAATGAAGCGAAAAAAAAACAAAGAGGCGGCTGGAAGATGCAAGCTGCTCCAGTGACCAGACCCAGACCCACGGGCTTCTGCTGTCCGGCCAATGTCAATGTTAGGAAATGCACTCGGTATCGAACCGACACACCGACCAGCTAGCTAATGAACCGTTTGCGCCAACGTGCGAGCCGAGAATGAAATGAAGTTCAAGTCTACGGATGCCTCAGACCCTAAGCCTCAGCGGTCGCTGCATTTTCTGTAATGATGATGATCGAGTTTGGGGCATCGAGCTGTTCGGGCATTTCAAAACTCCCCCGGAAAAGTGAAATAAAACAAAACGCAAAAGCAAAATCGAAATGCGTTGGAACATGTTCGATGCTGGGCCATCCATCGCCCACATATAGGTGATTTATGCTTACCTTATTACCAGCAGCTGTTGGCCAGTAGAGATTCGGCCAAGAGGCCTCCAATGTAATTCCCCAAAAAATATTCTTTAATAAAACTCGTTTTGACTGTTTTTTTGTTTGGATCTATCAAGCAAACATGGCTGTTAGTTTCCATAATTTAGTAGAACCCACCATGTAGAACAGCGTAGATTATGACTAAAACAAAATGCGAAATTGATTTGGGGGTCAAGAAGAAAACGGCCCAAACTGGAAGCCCAAGGGCCCAACTCATCAGAGATATTCAAAAACGGTAGAGAAGAATAATAACACGTGTTGAGAATTTTAGGAAATGTGACGAAACAAAAGACTTAAGTCACAAACTTGGTTTTCAAAAAAGGGAATTTCCTGAAAGGCTGTATGTGGGAAGGTCAAGTTCCTTAATAGCTGGCCAATTTTATTTATTTTTTTAATAATATTCTTAATCTTTTCGTTTCAGCCAACTTAAAGGCCTAATCAGCTTGTCCCAAGCTCGTGCCCGCTTGGATCTATCTCTGATGGTTACCATCCAGCACGTGCGCGATGTGATCGCCCTTTTGACGGAAAGCATCGCCCAGACCAGCCTCAAGACAGGTGATGACCCCGGCCCCGGACGCAGTGCATCCGGTCGAGGTGGTGGAGGCGGAAAAAGCGCCCAACTGCGCAATTTCGTGGTCATGATGCAGCGGCGCGGAGAGGCACTGGGCCGGCGCATTTTCGAGATGGAGGAGCTAAAGGAGATTGCAACGCGGGCGGGCATCTTGACGGGCGTCAGCCAGCTGGTGGAGACCGCCAACATGGGGGGCTATTTGCTCAAGAAGGGTGCAAACATGTACGAAGTGGTTCCGGACTAAACAAAGCGACAATGACCGAGTCAATATTTACAGAAAGTCTCGTTCTAAGTGATTTTAGAAACTAATTAGGCTAGATCGCTATTTAAAGTTGAAATTAAGTTTAAATTCATTTCTCACTTTAAAAATAATATATTTTATGAATATCGTATTGTTATCCATTGAGTTCTGCCTTTTGAAGTATACTTTCAGGTGCTTAGATTTAATCAAACCTGTTACTTTATTTAATCTTTAAATATAATCAGAGCTTTAAAATTGGTTTCATTTAATACTTTATTATTTAGTTTCCATAAAATTACATATAATGTAATAAGTTTTTCGTAAATAAATACACAAATCCTTTGTATCCGTTCGTCATTAGTTATCCTGCTCTGCCCACACCATCCGGTATCCTAGGGGTGATGTCTTGCTTGGATTGAATGTAGTAACTATTTGAATGACCCTAGAATACGTCTCGACCGGGGGCCTATGCCTAAGTGGATTATCGTTTATTAGAGCTATTTTTACCGTGCCTGCAAATCCTATACGACTATGTACAATATTTCTAGTGAATGTAATGTTATATTTGGCTTATCCTTTCGCTACCCCACTAAGTTGCTGATTTAAAACTTACATCCTACATTTCAGGGCCTCACACTCGATATATCGATTCGATTCTGTTAGTTTTTTTTTTAATTATGTCTAGGCTTGAGATAGTGAATGGGATTAGTGTGTTTAAATTTTGCAACTGCTTTAGGCTAATCAGTCTAAAAAAAAACTCAATAATAACGCAAATCGCGCAACGAAAATTTATCTAATATGCTGTCTAAATATTTCCATCTAAATCAAGCTACTTCTTAGGCTACTCTACATCATTTCCATCGCGCCGCTTAGTTAGTGCGATTATTGCACGTTTCTGGGGGAGATTATCTAAACGGAATGCAGTCGTTTTGAGTTTTTGGTTTTGGCCTATTGTAGGTTTCCCTGTGTGTTTGTGTTCATGCCTCGGGTGGGTGGATTTGTCCAGAAAATAATAATTATTTCTCGAGATTCAGTATCGAGCTTCCGTTAGAACAAGAAGGACTTATCACAAATGAAAAATGGTTGATTTTGGTCATTAATTTTAAAAATATTACACAGTCTCCAAGACGAATTGATTTCAAAATTGTTCTTAGTTCTAGACTACTCCACTCTCATTGACTAAAAAAAAATAATAATTAAAAAAAAATATCTACCCACCCTATGTATCTATAAATGTACCTATGTCGTGTGCTTTGTACTTTCAAAACTGTTGGAGAGACAGACTTTAGACGAGAGCTAAATAAAGCTGAGAACTTTGCAACCTGCGCTTAAAACTAATCACTATAACTAAGCCACAAATAAATACAATGAATCTATCCGCCACTATCCGAGATGCTTCACACTTCCGCGCGGAACGTGAGATTGAAAGTGCGCAGCTCCATCGGCTCGAGGCTTATCTCGGACAGGGAGCGTATGCTCTCCTTTGACGGCTTCTGCTCCATCCCCGTAAGACTGCTGGCCTCGATGGTCTGCAGCGCCAACCGACCGAGTTGGACGTTGCCCATTCCCTTGCTGGACAAGGGACACACGTTCTCCAGACCGAGCTCAGCGCCGGCACTGACGCTGCAGTCGAATCCCTGGCGGTGCAGCACCAGCAGTGCCGAGGCGGACGGGAACAGCTGCAGCTCCGGATCCGAGAGCGTCCTCAGGGTGGTCAGGTGCACGTCGCAGGGCAGGGCTCCCTTGGGCAAGAGCTTCACCAGCGGCACCAGCGTTGCGGCCAAATCCGGCTGCTCCAAGCTATTCACAAAGTAGAGATTCGGCGGGTAGCGCAGCGTATTGGCCAGATGCTGGGCCTGCTGACTGAGCACCTTGTAGCTAGGCGGCTGCACCACGTGCTGACCCCCGGGTATGTCTTCCACCAGGAGCCAGAACTTGTGGCGGGTCAGCCGACTGTCCACCACGCCCTCGCCCATTCCGCGGTAGTCGTCGTAGAGGGTCCTCCGGTCCAGCATCACCTCCAGCTGACCAGGCTCGTAGCTGGCAGCTCCTTGGGCGTGAGTCGTCAGCAGGGTGAGGCGAAGACGTGTGTCCTGGATGAAGGCGCCCGAAGTAATGGGGAAATAGTTTCCCTCGATGCCAATGGCGGGCACTTTGATGCGTCTGTAAAAAATAGGATAATTTAGAAAATATTTGAAATAAATTATTTTTGTAAAATAAATCGATTTAAAATTTTGAAAATCGTCATTTGCTTTTCATTTATTCATTTCTCTTGAACTTCATAGGAGTGCAGTGTAGAAATAACAAACTTTTAAAAGAATAATTAAATTTTTGTTAGAAACGTAAACGTATCCATGTGCGGTATAACAATTCTTATTCAATATTTTGTGTTCAAACGGTGCATAAACTTTTGTAAAAAATAAACTATTAATTCACACATAAATTAACAATTATAACTTAATAATAAAATCGTACAACTTTGCGTGTTAAATACCCGTAAAGAATTAAAAAACCAACGTAAGTCTTTCAGCCGTAGCACTATCTTTTCAAGAATAATGTTATCTACGATCATGTCCGATTAGTTCGACGACAATGTCACTGTCACTGTTGCTCCTTCTCGATATTGTAGAAGTGGGGCCACGTCTGGATCTCCTCGAACAGTCTTCGGCCGGGGCTCTCGGTCGAGTTGCACTGGCAGTGGCACACGAGTCGGTATTCGGGGGCGATGTAGCCCTCCTCCACGCCGTGGGCTAGCAGATTCCGTAACATGTTCAGGGCATCCGGGGTGGGCAGCCGGCGCATGAAGCAGCCAATGAAGCTAATGCCCAGCGCAATCTTGTTGTAGCCCAGGGTGTGGGCACCCACGGTCTTCCATCCGCGTCCCTCGTAGATGTTCCCATCGCAGCCGATCATGAAGTTATAGGCAATGTCGTTCCAGCCCCGCGATTCTATGTGGAAGCACTGCATGTCGCGGATGAGGCGGACGTTGATCGCTCGCTTCTCCGAGCTCTCGGTGGCTGTGTGCAGGATGACCACATAGTTCACTGGTAGCTTCAGGGGCATTGGTTCCTCCATGGGTTCTTGGGCCAGCCAAGTGTGCCGCGGATTTATCGAACAGATTTCTTTGGGGATTTTAAACTTTTGGCTACTGATGAACGCATCCGAGGACACTCGCTCCTCCGATTCTTCCGGGTCCTGGCTAGGCGCCGGCACTTCTGTGACGGACACCTTCCGGCGCTCCCGACGAGGTCTCAGAGTCTCAGCTATGATTTGGATGTTGCCATTGATGTTGGTCACGTTGCCGATGTGTACGTTTGTGGAGTTACTGATGTTGACATTGCCCACGGTCTGTATGGAGTTGATGGAGTTCATCAGGTCGCGGAGAGTTTCGTTGATCAGGGACTGCTTGCTGGCGGGAATCTGAGTGCCCAGCGCCATTGTGGTTATCTCGCTGCTGGTCCCGTGCTCGTACTCCTCGTCATAATATTCGTCATCCAGGCTATCCACCACCGAAGACTCTGTTATGGACTCCAGCTCTTCGTCGTCCATGGAGTCCAGCCACGCCCGGGTCCGCTCCTGGCTCAGTTCCCGGGCCGTTGTGGCTGCTGGTGTCGTTGTGGGCTTCTCGGTGGACATGTCAGCGACGGTTAAAAGCACTCCGTTCGCCAATCACTTGCGCTCAACACTGGGCCCAGTTTGTTTATCAATAAAATGTGTTGGAAATATACATTCTGTTACGATAAGTTCCCAAAGTGTCCGTCACGGGCGATAAGATTAGCAGGCACCTGGGCCAGTCTGACTTTGGTGGTGAAATGTATGTTTTTCTGCCGATATTGACAGCTAATTTGTTAGGGGTATTCCAACCAGAACCAACGACAACTGGACTTAAATGTTAGATTTACACTGCACGCGATATCGATATGTTTATCGATGGATAGGCGAGGGATTAATTATAAAGTTTAGAATAATTAAGCTAATTCCTACATCATATTTACGATAAATATTTAATCTTAAATTATATCTTAATTATAAGCGAGTTTTTAGTGTAATTTATAATAAAATAAATATTCCGATAGTTATTATTCATGAAATAAAAACCACCTTTACGGGGGAATCCCTCGGAAATGCTTCCGCATATGCTAACTTTGGCGAGTGAATCACTTTTCTTAATTAGTATGTATACATATATAAGTGTCAATCTTTTGTTTAAGTTCATTTATACTTATCAACTTATATACTATATCCCTAGTTATAATAATGCATCTTTATCGGTTTAGAACACAAAGACAAAGCCAATTGTATGAATATTTAGACGATTTTCACAATTTATAACCGATATTATATCTGTCTATTATCTAAAACTCACTCATGATATTGGAACCCGTTCTGGTCGCTGTAGAAGATGGGCAGTTCGGGTATGGGACCCGGCTCCGCTGGTTCCTTGAGCGGATCCCTCGGCAGGGGTGTCTGAGCAATGTTATCTATGTTTGTGACCAGACGCATGAACAGCTCCGTCTCCCGGTTCTTGGGCGGTGGTTCAAAGTCGATGTCGTTTTCCAAGTAGATGGCTGCATCCAGGTGAGTCCGGGTGTTGAAAATGCGAACAGTGTGCGCCAGGAACTGGCCGTAGATGACGGTCACATCACTGGCTATGGGTCCGGAAGTGATAATTATGCGCATGTCCGCATCGTCTTCGAGCACCTCCTTTTCCGCCTCGCTCTGCTCGGGATCCGTTTTGAAGAGATACGCTCCGGAGTGGAACTGGGCGCTTCGGTAAGCAGCAAACTTGATGTTGCACTGCAGGGGCTTCAGAAGCTCTTTCTTCTGGTTTTTCCGGGTGATGCTCTTCAGAAAACCGCTCTTCTCATCGAACAGCAGGCGCATGTGGGGATTTTCCAGCTGGATGTCGCCTGGTGGAGGAGGATACTCTTATTATTGAATCTCTAAAATCTATAGATAACTAACTTACCCGCTGGCTTGGCTCGCGATTCAAAAACAGCACCTGACGAAGGTTCTGGTTCTCCAGGTGCTCTCGATACTACTGAAGGTTGCTCCGTGCAATCATCGCAGTATATTGTGGCAACGTTCCGCTTGTAGTTGGTCTCGTCCACTTGAACGCGGTAAGTGGTTAGGGAGAGTGGCTCCAGCTCGGCTACAAACATCACCTCATACTGACGGGTCGAGGTGCGAATCCGTCCAGTTCCCGAGGCAGTCGTGCCCAGCCCCTGGTCGTTAGCATCCGCTATGTTCCACACCGGATTGATCTGAATGTGGCTCAACTCCACGCCCTGGTCGTTGAGGATCTTCACATTCGGATGCTGAACCCGCAACGTGACTATTTCAAGACGCTTCTGGGCAAGAGAGTTGTACATAATGAAGCTGCCCACAGATCCGGCAGTCGCTGCTCCTCCTCCAGCAGCCGTGGTCGTGGGTGTGGAGTCATCGCCGCTCACCATCTGGATGGGCATTTTCCGGGGCAGCTTGTTGAAGTTGTCCCGCTCGAATTCGCTCAAGAGGAAGCCATGATGCCGCGGTGTACCCTTCTGCAGCAGCAGTTCCATGCAGGACTCCTGCATCTTTACCATGTTCTGGGTGCTCTCAAACAACCGCATGGCATAGTCGCGCATCACCGCCGCCTTGGAAGTGCCAGTAATGGCATCGTGGTGCTGGAACAGGCCGAGATTTCGCCTGGCGTTGATGATCAGCTCGTAGTTCTTCTCATAAATCTTTATGGCGTTTTCACGTTTGGCCTGACGAGCAGTGTTGTAAGCGAGGGTGAATAGAATCTCGGTGGACCTGAGCTGGTGCTCCAGCTCGGAGCTCAGAAGCTTGTAGAATGGTCTGGTGGTGAAGTAGCCCGACCAGTAGGCTGGCCTGCCCTCCGAGAAAATGTCCGAGTAAACGAAGAAGTCGCCCTTGAAGCTGGGAAAGCTTGGGGTATGCTCCTTCATTCGTTCCTTGATGGCCTCGAAGTAATCGCTTGGTGTGCCGAAGCGGATGTCCGTGTTGTACAGCCTTTTGTTGGCCATGATGTGGTCAATCAGTTTCTTGTAGTTCTGGTATTGCTGGTCCACCTCACGCTCTTTGTTGTAACGAAAATCATCGCCCACCGGGATAAGGGCCACATTGTGCGGGAACAGAGACGCAGTTCTGGCGTACTGCTCCAGGAGAAGCTGTGCCTTGGACTCCAGATTGTCGTCGGTGATGAACTGCGCCTTGACCGAGTACTCCGTGTACTCACCGGGTATTTTCCGAAAGTCAAAGTTCAAGCAGATAAACGGGTGGGGACCACAGGAACCCTTGATCGAGTATATATCGAATGGCATGTTGTGGGTGAGGAGGCTGCCCTTGTCACTGCCACTCCGGCTCCTCCAGTAGGGCTTCCAAATGAAATCACCAGACTGCTGGCGGGCGAACCACTGCTTCCAGGCGTAGTGAATCCTCTGAATGATTGCTCCTTCGAAGTTGGCTCCGGAGAGCAAATAGGGCACAGTGCTCCCATGCCCGAAAGGATCGATGGACCATCCTACTTTCGGGGTAACGTTTAGGTTGTTTTTCAGCCATTGGTGTCCCTCGATGAGCTGATCCAGCATAGGATATATGTGAACATTCGCTTCATCCGTCATCACCCATCCTCCGGTGGTGATCTCTATCCGTCCGGAGTCTATCAGTCGCTTCAGAGCCCGCTGCTTGGTGGGATGAGCCTGATCCCACCACAGCTGCAGGAAACTGATCTCCGACCAGATGAATGTCATGTCGGTGTACTCCTGCATCTTGGTCACCAGCAGGTTGAGAATCTGCCGGGAGTCCGATTGGAAGTAGTTGGTAAATGTCTTGAGCCAGCCAGGATCGTTGTGGGAGTGCGGCACCACTATGATCTTGAGTGGAGGTCGCTGCTTGTCCTTTTTCTGGGCCTCGAAGCGCTCCTCGAAGCCACGATCCCAATACTCCTTGGAGCGCATCCACTCGGGCTGAAAGGGAAGATAAGATATTAGTTTTAGAACCAAACTCTAGTTATACTTTCTCACCTGAAAGTCAAACTTGCTGTGCTCTTCCCTGGCTGTTATGTTGGTGTCGCTCTGGAGCAGCTCATAGCACTTGTTGCCCCATTGCCGGTTGGTGAAGTCCTCCTGGGAGACTCTCCTCGTATTTGAGGGGATGCTGACGTGCGTCTTAGGGACTTGCATTGAGGAGGAACCTCCTCCCACGCTAAATGCAGAGAGGCCGTTGATTGGCGAGCCCCGCAGGGCTGCTGTAGGCGGGCCAGTGCCGGTGATGGGCGCAGGATTGGGCTGGCCAATGGAGATGTAGTAGAGGCAGAGGAGGATCGTCACAAAGGCCGACAGGAGGCCAATGCATCTCGCCGAGCCGCGGCGGAATAGTTTGAACGACATCCTTGTAAGTGGACTAGTTACTCTCACTAATTCTTCCTCGTAACTTAATTTCTACATCTGGAAATATAAGAAAAAGATCATAAAAATAAAATAATCTCTTATGTAAGCACAATAAATAAAAACAATTTATGTTTACAGCAAGCTATTGCCCTCCTTCTGCTTCCCTTCCAAGCCTAATCCTTGTAGTGATTTTATTTTTGCAGCTCTAATCCTGTCTGGGCTGTCCTTGCCGCAAGAGTGTTTGAATATTTCATGCAGGCCAGGACGAGGGCAGGAAGTTTCGTTTAGAATTTAATTAAAGCATAACAAGGACGAAGGAGGGCGCACTGCCTGGGGCCTGGTGTAAAGAATGCATAACTGGTTCGGAAGCATTAGCATTACTGGGGGGATACAGGGATATTAGAATAAAGTCCCTACGGTTAGATGCTCTTAGGAGGCATAGTCGAAATGTTTAAAACAATGCATCAATTTTTATGTTTTCTGGATTAGGAAGTGGATTAACTGCCGGATATGGTCTTCCTTGAAGGCGTGAATAAGTTCAAAGTTAAAAGGTTTCTCAAACTAACGTCAGCAGGACTAAACCTACTAACATGTGAGTAATACTATATGTACGTTCTTCTGGCAAACAAAAGTCAAACTAACTAAACGAACTGTGCAAACTGAAAACTCAATCAAAAACTCTTCACATGTTCGCAGAACTTTTTGCAATGATGAAATTATTGCATAGTTTGGTGAAAAGTTTTAGCCAACGACCTCGCCCACTCCTGGAACTTAGTGCCAGTCCTCTGCGGACAAATAAATTAATAGTCCGTAACAAAAATGTGTGTAATTTGTGAAAAAAAAGCCAACACCACCAGAAAAAAGCCCATAAAACAATTTGCACGGCTGCACATGATTTATTTTCGTTTGTTGGGAGATAATTTATGTTTTTAATTCTGTTCGACATGCATTGCAGGAGCATTATCTCTCGCCCCAATTCGCCAATGAATACTGCATTAAATTTAATTAAAAATTTAAAAGCCATTTAAGGGCCGGCAGTGCAGGTTTCGCATTCAATTAGCCAGAAGGGGAGCTTACAAAATAAAAGATAGTGCCTCCCCCACTAACTGTGCAGCTCGTATGCTAATCAGCGGACATTAAGTGAGGATGCCACAAGCCCGCACCTGTCACCCAGTGGAACAACGAACAGAATGCAAAACACTAGCCACAGACTCCCCCTCTACAAACCACTGGCATGGTAATTTAATCGTTTTTGCCCCTTCTATCCCCAGAGGCACATCCATTTCCGTGAAAGAGTCTTCAACAAAGTGCGAAACCAAAGCTTAAGCTCTCTGGAAATGGTCGAGGAAAGGACTACATTTAAAGATCCTTGATTCGGGAAAAGTTTCCTCGACCCAAGTGTGCGCTTCAATTATTTCAATTAGTCCAACATTTTCACTTCCTTCCGACCAACCAACAAGCTTAATAACTTCCGGGAAAAGTAAGTCAAAACAAGTTGTCCTTGACCCTTATCAGGCATCATAAACAGGAAGAAAATATATACTACTTATTTGATTTTATTGAGTAATCCTTTTAGGATTTCTTCACTCTTCTCTATTATTTTACAGTGCATCTTGTTAAGAATGAATTCCACTCGAAATTTCTGGCTATCATCACGAATGTTGTGGAGACTTTCTGGCAAATTTGATTCCATTGCAAATTGCACTCTGTCAACCTTTTTGTATTCTCTGAATAGATGACAACCTTCGTCTGGGAGTCAACACGTAGCATCCTTTGGGGCATCCTTTGCCTCAGTTGTTGCCATGTTATCCTTTTTTTTCATGCCATTTCTTCCCGTCAGTTACCTCCTTCTTCTGCACAATATAATTTCTAGTTGGAAAATGATTTTTGTTGCTCTTCTCTTTCCGTTAGTGCCCTGTTTCCTGTTATCCTGATTGCGGGCGTGTGCGTGTTTTTCTGTCCCATCAGGACATCAGGACATCAGAGAACCCAACTCACAAAGTCAGTTTTCCCGCCTGATACCACCTCTCTCTGCATCTTGTTTGCACCCTTCACGTCCTTTAACCTGTAACCCCTTGACGCCTCGTCTCAGGAAGCTTAATTTCGTTTCGAGTTGCAAGGACCCACGTGGATGGATGTGTTTTCAATGCAAATGGATATCCTTGCTACCTGATAGTTGAGAAGAGTACAGGGCTTAAAGGATTTAAGGCTTTAAGTCTTTATATTTTTTACCATATTTAAAAATTTCGAAATAAAATGATATAGAAGTATTCATTAGGATTTGTTAAAATATTTTCCAGAATAATGGGTAGCCCTAGTCTACTCCTCCAACTTGTATCTCATTGTTGCTCTGATATATTGATTGGTTGGCTTGCTTTGCCTTCACACACGTCCTCCACGTCCCAACCAAATTTCTAGTTTTGTGTTCAGAAAACTTTTCTGAAAGCACTCCGAATCAATTGTAAACTTTGTTGTTTGCCAATTTTTTTTATTATTCTGTAAACTGACATAGGAGTCGTGTGTGAACCGTACATGTTGCACTCCCGATGTGATGTTTGGTTTTTATGTTTAAACTTTAAAGAGAAAAATTCTTTATTTCTATTGCCATTTACATGCCATTCCAAACACCTTTAAATTAAAACAATTTAATTTCCTTTTAATTAAAAGTTTCGCTCAGAAAGTTAATTGAAAGTCATGCCAGTCACCTAAAGAACCCAAAAAACCAGGCCCACAAAAGAAGCCAAAAAAAGAAAATAGAAGGCAAAAGTGTGAACGTAAATTCAGTTCAAAAATGGTAAGCGTTGGAGTTGGAGTCGGAGTTGGCCAAAAACAACAAGTCCAAGAACAATAGTTTGCATAAATGGCACGGAAATTGCAGCTGCAGCTGAAGGCAACCCTTTTTCCTTTCGGCCATTCAGCCAACTCGAAACGGTTAAAAGCTGTTTTCTTAGAGCCCAACACAAAAAAGTTTCCCCTCCCCCAAACCACCCAAAAAAAATTAAGGCAAATAAAAACACACAGAAATTTCAACTCTGACTTTGGACTTTTGGGAATGGCAGCTGAGGTTCACTTTGTAGGACCCGGGAACTTTAGAAAGACTTTGGCGTTTTTTTTAATTAAAGAAACTAGCGTTGCACTAAAGGGCCTCCAGAGAGAGTCGGGGGTCACAAAAGGGCGAACACATCCAGTTATGGCAATTTTCCGGAGCAGATGAGCATGAGTAATGCGGCGGTTAAGCCGCCAGTCGAGCGTGTGGGTTTGGCATGTGCCCACCCTATACCATAATCTGTGTCTGAGACACACAAAAAATTCAAATAACTTGGGCCCATCCGGAGGCCCAGATATAAGCCATTAGCATGGCCAGCGAACCAAAAACTAAGAACCAAGAATTATGGCAATTTGTTTGGGGGCGATAGCTCCAGAGCGGCTTCTAGCCAAAGGAAGTTGTCGGCAGAGATGTTGAAATCAAGATTGTTCCAATTTTGTTTTTATAATTCATAATTGCTTTTTAACTATACAAAGTGTGGAGCTAAAACATAGGGTTTCTACTTAATTTAAGTTACTTTTCACCAAGATTTGAATTCTTTAGAATTCTCGAGAGATTTGTTGTTTGCTCTCCGAGCATGTGCCGGTAATTGCATAACTGAAAATAGTCATTAATTAGAATGAAAATGTTTATATAATTAACTTGAACTGGTTCTGGTTTGCTTCTCAGAATTCCCGGATAATTAAATGAAGGGTTGTGTAATATTGCAAAATAATTGCGATGCTTTAGATGTGTATTTATAAGATGCCCTTTAAGGTAAAGTTCTAAATTTTAACTCTTTCTAGTTTGTGTTTAAAACCCTCGACTCACCCACTCGACAACCACAATTCACTAAATGGAAGCACAACAACAAAAAAAATGTTTTGTTAAAAGAACTCCAAATGCAGTATTCCCTCTCCACCGACACCCATGTCAATGGGAGCCCAACCAACCGAGTGGAGAAATGTGGGGGGCTTCGGGGTATACAGAACCGAAAGCCGTTAGACAAGTAGAACCTCCAAGCTAGCCCGGCCCAGTTAGAATTCACAGTTACTCACTTCGTGACATATGGACAAAAAGGCATCAACGAAACAACAACATTAAAGTCCGGGCCCATAAACTTGGCCAAAAGCACGGACCAGCCAGACCATAAAGGGATTGTTTGTTGATTAAATGTCGACGGGAAAAAAGCAATTTGCGAAAGGCGAAACAACGACATTCATATCTGCGGGGTTTCCATAACATAACTCCCCCCCAAGAGCACCAGGAAGCTCCCAGCTAACACTCACCTAGATCCCCTAGATCGTTGCAGTTTCCTCCTCTTGGCTTGATTTCTCTTGGACTTTAGCGGTTTCGGTTGTTAGCCAATCACAACTCATTGGTTAATGTCGGCACTTGATGGCGGAAAAGTGGCCCATCGATACTATGGTGATACAAGTGTACGCGTTGGAAGCACTTCCGTTCCAGACACTTGAACATCAATCAAATTATCCATGCTTTATGGCTCCGTATGTTTCGCCAATTAGGCGAATCCAATTGATTTCCCCCACTTATTAATGATTTTCTACAGATATCCACAATCATCCATATCAACCGCAAATAATATCGTTTCGGGCCGAGTCAGATAACCGCATTTTCCGTAACATTTCACGTTTTGGTCAGCAACTTTCCAACCAAAGTATGCTAATTAATTTTATTTCACAGCTCTGTAAATATTTGCATTTATTTAATTAGCTTAAAATTGAAAACCCATTGATTGTGGATTGGGCTTTAATTAATAACATTATCAGGATATATCCTGTTCCATTTTAATTACCCTCTCTGAAGCCATAAACTAAATTGCACATTTTAATTCCACATATCCTGGTTATCCCTCGACTGCCATTTGCGATTCTATTCGAGCTCCATATCCACATTAGTTTATTGATATGGCTTGAGCTAAGACCCTAACGCCGAAAGCTATAAAATGCTATAAACGCTGACAAAGCACTGGAGCAATGGAGCATTGGAGCACAAGTCGCCTCATAAAATG